TACTCAATTTTTTTTGCAGAAATACAAAGCCATCAGTTAAGACTCATGAGCTTTTGTAAGGTCAATCTAGATTATGAATCCTACAATGGGAAGAGGGTTTGAATTCTACTCTGCACCACAAAAGTATCTCTGTGAAGGAAAAATAACAAAGAAACTACTCCTGAAAAATGAAAAGGCAAGCAGAAAGTAAGGCAGTTGGTAGTAAGTGCTATCAGCAATTTAAACTAGCTCTAAGATGGGACACTCCAGCATTGACTTCAGCTGCCTCTGCTCCTGAAGGAAGGCACAGGACTGGGTTTTAAGTAAGTGAAACCCCAGCTACTGTCTTTTGTGTTTGAATCCAGGGTTTCTCCACTCTGTGGAAGAGTAAGACTTAGGATAAACCCAGCTCCCAAAAGCTATTTGCAACTTTTGGATTGTATGCCTTCTGCAGGGCAGAGGCCAGACAGCTTCCCACAGCAAAACCCAGTGTCTGGCACACCCAGGGGTGCAAAGCCCAACAGTCCCTTTAGGCACAACATCTTGGTGGACATCACTGTGTACAGTAATAATTAATGAGAGATTACAGTCATCAAGCTATAAAAAAGAGAAACCCAGTATTCTGGCCCCAGGACTACTGAATAGGGTTTTTTTCACTCCTTCTTCTGAGGTCAGTGTGTATGTGGTCACTAGTATTTCCCCAAAACCAACCTAGTGTTTACATAATCCTCCAAAAAATAAACACTGCTTCTGATGTTAGGACTGAAGCACACAGAACAGATCCTGTAAGTCTGCAGAACACTCATTAGCACACACAGAATATAAATTTTTTCATCCAAGAGAGCTGCTGGTCTTTCAAGAGGCTAGTTAATTGGGATTAGCTAAAAAGCTAATTATGGCAGGCTACTGCACAGAAACAGAATGATACCTTCAGGAAGCCTAAGCAAGCACTATGAAAATACTTCCTTACCCACAGGCCAAGCCAATGTCATACGATCCATTTCGGATGCCACCTGTAACAGCAGTGCATAAATATTCTTACTGTCATCAGGAGCAAAAGCATTTCCAGCCCAGCTGCAAATTCCAAACACCTGAGCACCCAGTACAGCCAAATGGGCATTTCCTCACCCTCCTGCTTGCCAGAGGGAGAGCCAGGCCAAGGAGCTGATGGGGCTGAAGGCTCATGTGGGCCAGAGAGAACTGGAAGAGCCCTTCTGGAAGCTGCCTGATATGGAGGTGATGGTGGAACTTGTCCCCAGAAGACCAAGCTACTTCTCTAGGGATAAACTTGGTCACTCAAGGATATAAAATTATTTAGCTAACACCACTGCAAATTTCCTATAGCACAAGACATTATCACTGTTTACTGCTCAGAGAGACTGGAGGACAGGAGGAATGACCCCTTGGGGTGGGACAGACATCAACTCTGATGCCAGTGCCCACAACACCTACCAGCTATGTTGATAATGGCTTGCAGCCCGGAGGAGCACTGCCGGTTCACACTGGAGCATGGCACTGTTTCTGGAATGCCACTGGAAAACAAGACAGTGTTGGCAAAGACTCAGTGATAAAAACCATATTCATAAGTCTGATGTGCCTGCACCTCTCTAAAGTGGTAGTTATGCAACAGAAACTGATTGAAATATTTGTAATCTGGGTTCCAGCTCATTATGAGCCATTGACCAGCACTGAGCAATGACAGAAAAATCTGAGCCCATCCATGGTTTTGGGACCAGACACAGCAGAGAGGAGCAGCCTCAGAGAGTGCAGCTGGGAGCCCACAGAACATCATGTCTCTTTCAGAAGCCCAACTCAGGCAGCACAAACAGATTAAAGAGCTTCACCTGCCTCTCTGTCTCTTTGCCACTGAGCATTCTCCAAACGCTCGATCAAAGTCCAGTTTCTAGGCAAAAGGTGATTTGCTGTAATTCCTGGGAGTGCAAGAGCCTCACTGCAATCTCTGACCCTTGTGCTACTCCGTGGCCCACGGAGGAGAGGAAGAACCTCAGTCTAGCTGAGAGCTTACCTTAGAAATTGTGCAACTCTTGCAATCAAGGCACCAGCTCCAGGCTGCAGCACATTCCCTGAGCAAAGACACAATTCCAGTCAATTGGCTGCACTCCCCTCACAGGCATTGAAGGGATGTTCCCATCACCACAACTCTGTAGTGCCAGCACCAGATCAGAGCCCCGTCACCAACAGGACAGGAGTGAAAACCTAATGCCACACATTAACCCATTGCAGCCCCACGAGAGCTGTGAGTACCCACACGGGGAGCCTGTCCCACAGAGCTGTCCAGAGCAGGAGTTTCACCAGGCAGAGCCTGTCTGTCACTCACCCACACAGATGTCTCCCAGCACCTCAGGACGCAGGTTGACATCCTGAAGGACAGCTGTCATCACAGCAGCCAGCAGCTCATCAGGTGTTGTGTCCTAAAAGCACAGGGGATCAGCAGCACCAGTGAACACCAGTAAGTGCCTTGTCACCAGTTCAGCTCAGAGCACTTCGGAGGGCTGGTGCTCCAGTGGTGCTAAGGCAGCCTGACACCACTTCTCAGCTACCTGTGGTGGTTGTTCTCCTACCACAGCAGAATTACCTGGTTTTACCCCAGGTTTCCTTCAGGCACTGCAACACACATGCTGCTTTCTCACCTTCCTTGGATTTATAGGAACATGCTCTGCAGAGCCTTCAAAATCACACAACTACAGAGATTTACGTGACAAGACCCAGCGAGTGGAGCCCCTCCATTTGTTCTGTGACAGAAACGGGTGACCCTGTCCCACCCCAGCTGGGGGGAAGCACCGCCAGCATGAGCAGACCCGCTTGGAAGGATGATAAGGAAGGAGCACGCTCTGGGATCACGCTGGCACCGTGATCTTTCCCAGGGCTCTGCGGATGCCACCCGGGGAGCAGCAGGATCCCGAAGGGACGCAGGTCAGCGCCGAGCCGTGCAGGTGACAGCGAATGTGATCGCTCCATGGGCACACAATGCCCGACTGCCCCAGCACTAAACCATCCCACAGCGCTGGGATTTACACCCTTCCAGAGCACAGCGCTGGTGTTTAGGGTCAAGCCGGGCTCCAGCACCCCGGCGCGCACGGAGGGGAGGTGAAGAAGGGGACGCCGAGCACCGGCGGGCAGCATCCCCCGGGCCGTACCTTGAAGCCGCCGCGGCGGGCGCGGGCGATGGCGGTCCTGCGGCCGTGCACCACCACCACATCGTCGGGGCTGCCGGCCCGTTGCGGGCCCCCGGAGCAGGGCACGGCGCTGGGCACGGCGCTGGGGGCGGCCCCCGGGCCCGGCGCGGCCCCGGCCAAGTGCCCGAGCACCAGCTGCGCCCGCCGCGCCGCCGCCGCCATCTTGTCACGGCAGCGACGCGCCGCTTTGCATGGGCCCGCCCCCTCGTTTGCATATTGTTCTGTATTTGCATCTCCCCGCCCATCTCGTTTACATGGCCACGCCCCCGCCAAACCGCGCTCCTTACCCAGAGACAACGGACCGAGATAAAAAATAAAAAGGGGGAAAAAAGGAAAAAAGGAGAGGGAAAGGGAAAAAAATAAAAAAAGGAAAGAAGAAAAACGAGGAGGGAAAAAAAATGGATGGGGAAAAACGGTGGAAAAAAAAACAAAGAAAAAGGAAAAAAAAAAGGAAAAAGGAAAAAAAGGTGGGAAAAAGGAGAAAATATGAGGAAAAAGAACGGGGGGAAAGGTAAAAAAAAACGAAAAAAAAGAAGGAATAAAGGTAAAAGGAAAAAAAAAGGTGGAAGAAAGGAAAAAGGGGAAAAAAGGTGGGGGAAAAGAACAAAAAAGATGGAAAAAAGGTAAGGAAAAAAAAGGGGGAAAGGGATAAAATGGAGGAAAATATGAAAATGGAGAAAAAAAGGAAAAAAGGGGAAAGGGGAAAAAAGGAGGAAAAAGGAAGGGGCGAAAAGGTGGGGAAAAAAAGAACAAAAAAGAGAGAAAAAAGGTAAAAGGGAAAAAAGGTGGAAAAGGGAAAAAAAGGAGGAAAAGAGGAAAATGGGGAAAAAAGGAAAAAAGGGGAAAGGGGAAAAAAGGAGGAAAAAGGACGGGGGGAAAGGTCGGGAAAAAAGAACAAAAAGAGAGAAAAAAGGTAAAAGGGAAAAAAGGTGGAAAAGGGAAAAAAAGGAGGACAAGAGGAAAATGGGGAAAAAAGGAAAAAAGGGGAAAGGAGAAAAAAGGAGGAAAAAGGACAGAGGGAAAAGGTGGAGAAAAAAGAACAAAAAAGGGAAAAAATTGTAAAAGGGAAAAAAAAGTGGAAAAAGGAAAAAAAGAAGGGAAAGAGGGGAAAGGGAAAAAAGAGGGGAAAAGGGAAAAAAGAGGGGAAAAGGGAAAAAGAGAAAAAAAGGAAAAAGTGGAAAAAAGGAGGAAAAGGGAGGGGGAAAAGTGGGAAAAAAAGAACAAAAAAAGAGGGAAAAATGGGGAAAAGGAGGAAAAGAGGGAAAAAGTGGGCAAAAGGAGGAAAATAGGAAAAAGGGGGGGAAAAGGAGAAAAAAGGGAGAAAAGGGGGGAAAGAGGGAAAATAAGGGGGAGAAAGGGAGAGAAAGGGGGGAAGGGGGGAGAAGGGAGGGAAAGGCAGGGAAAAAGGAATAGAGCAGAGAAAATGCAGGAATGAGGGGAGGATTAGGAAAATGAAGATGAAATAGAAATAAATAAAAATACTTAAAATTTAAAATAAAAATAAATAAATTCCTGTTGGGAAGGGGCTGTGCGGGTGAGCAGGGGACAGGCAATAGGAATGCCGGCTGGTGGAGCCATGAAGGTTAGAAAAGACCTCCAAGATCATCGAATCCAACCATGCTCAGCACCAAACCACATCCCAAATGCCACATCCACACTTCCAGGGATGGGGATTCCACCACTCTCCTGGCCAGCCTGTTCCCATGTCCTGCCCCAGTCCATCCCCCAAAAGGAATTAATTTCCCCACGGACACGCGGCAGCGCGCAGGGAAAGGCGCAGGACTCGCTACGGGCAAAATAAAACCAAACCAAACAAACAGAAAATGACTTTACATGGTATAATAATTCCATTTGCTTTTCCTAGTTCCATTCTGTACATCAGAACACTGCAAGGGTTTTACAAACCAGAAAGGCAAAGGCACCTGAGGAGTGTCTCACACTCACACTCACACACACACTCACATGAGCCACATCCATCCATGGGAGGATTTAGGTGGTTTGAGGGCCCTGGGAGCATTTTGGGACAGCCAGGAGCCCCCTTTGGCTCTCAAATCTTTGGAAAGAAGGGAAACCCTCCCACCACTGAAGGGCTGAGAAAACCAAAACCAAACAGATTTAATGAAAAAAGAGAAAACAGCTTAAAAACTGTTTTGATTTTTTTTTTTTTTTTAGCTTTGGTGAACACACACTTTGTTAGCCTCTTCTGTCAAACCTGTTCCCAGACATTGCTGATTTTTTTTTCCCCGCTGTGTTTGTTTCCATCCATCCCATATTACTGACCAGACTGATGGATTTGGTCCTATTCACAGAATAAAATTCTTCATTCCCCTCAGCAAAAAGAGACTTTTCCTCCTCCCTGTGGGGAGCTGCCCATCAGCCCAATGGCTGACTGACACAACCCCTGGTGCTGCTCCAGCCCCCCAGCTTCCCCGGAACCTGGCCTGGAATAAATGGCCTCAATAGCTTTCAGACAGATTTATAGGGAATTCTTTTAGGCATTTCTTTTAATTTGCCCTAATACTCAGTGTTTTGTTTTTAAAAATGGAAATAATTCTTAAAATCATAAAATCTTTGAAGGTTTGGGTTGGAAGGGACCTTAGAGTTCATCTCATTCCAACCCCTTGCCATGGGGCAGGGACACTTTTTCACTAGACCAGGTTGCTCTGAGCCATATCCAACCCTGTGCCTGAACATTTCCAGAAATGGGACATCCACAGCCACACTGGGCACCCTCCTAAATCTTCCTTCTCTGCTCAGAGCTGAGGACATGGACATGCCCTCACCACCACACCAGCGATGCAAAGTCTGGATCTCTTTCACATGGAAAAATTCAAGGATGTGTTCACACAAACAACCAATTTGTCACTTTCCTCTTAAGTCTAAGCAACACTTTTCACTGAGAACCAGCACTAAAATAAACCTGTGTCTGACACACTGGCCTGAGGATGGAGCCCCCTGGTAACTGCTTTTTGGACTTTTTGCTGAGTCAGTGGAAACAGCTAATGCAGCAGAGAAGGGGGAGATGGGATGGTGCAATTAATTTATCCCAAACCCCCCAAGAGCTGATTGATTAATTAATTAACTCGCTTCCAGGGACTCTGTGTGTGCTTCCTGCCCAGGTTTCCCAGTGGGGTAGCACTGGTCAGAGGCTGTAGCCCAGCTCAGCTTTTGACTGGCCCATTTTCTCATACAACTTCAAACCTACTGTGGGAAAGAATCTGCTTCCAGCTGCCCTCCACTGCTGCAGCTCCACTCTTTCCCAGTCTGAGGCTCCATTGTCCTGCAGCTGCTCTCTTGGGCACTACCATGGAAGTGATGCTCCCCTTCCCTGTACCTGGGGATGGTCCATAAGGCACAGAGGAGGAGGTGCCCAGAGGAGGACGCACCCAGATTCACAGGCATCACTCCTCTCTGCCTAATTTTAGGAACTCTCTTGTGTTTTACAGAGATCCACTGGGCTCTCCCTGCAGCTCCACTTCCAGAACACGATGGCATCCCTCCAGCACGACCAGGGCTCAGCAGAACTGTAGCTGAGAGCAGAGCCATCCTTGCTGATATTCCCTTCGACTCCCACCTGAATCCTGATGGCTTCCAGCACAATCTGGCTGCTGCTCAGCCATGCCCACTTATTTAAACACCACCACCATCATTTACCCATCCCTCAGCCCACGGCAGGGGTCCTGGGCATCCGTCCGCGGGTGTACCCGGCAGAGACCTCCTGCACCCCGAGAGGACCCCCTGGTTCCAGACTCACACACGCACACACACACGCGCCAAGGCGAAGTCAACACGGCTGCTGCACCCTCGCGCCAGATCCGAGCCGAGCATCACTCCTTGATTGTAACCGCGTAAGGCACAGGACAGTGTGAAACGCCGCCCGCCACAGCGCCCGCTGCTCCGGCGGGGTTGGTCCCCTCGTCAGCGGGGACGCCCAGGTCCCCCCGACTCTGTGGTCTGAGGATCATCTCCTCCGGCTTGGCTGAAGGCCCTGTCTGCTCCTCTGCGAAAGGTGGTGATGGCCACTGAGCATCCGACTCCCCCACCGGTCCTGGGGATGCCGCCAGCACTGCCGCTGTGCTGAGGGGACATTTCCCGCTTGCTGAGGGGACATTTCCCTCTTGCTGAGGGGACATTTCCCGCTTGCTGCGGGGACATTTCCCGCTTGCTGCAGGGGACATTTCCCGCTTGCTGCGGGGACATTTCCCGCCTGCTGAAGGGACATTTCCCGCTTGCTGCAGGGGATATTTCCCGCCTGCTGAAGGGACATTTCCCGCTTGCTGCAGGGGACATTTCCCGCTTGCTGCAGGGGACATTTCCCGCTTGCTGCGGGGACATTTCCCGCTTGCTGCAGGGGACATTTCCCGCTTGCTGAGGGGACATTTCCCTCTTGCTGCAGGGGACATTTCCCGCTTGCTGAGGGGACATTTCCCGCTTGCCACACTTCCCCCAAGAGAGCAGTTACTGAGCGAGAGGGGCTGACCCCGGTACCGCTGGCAGCAGGGAGGTTACGTGGTGTGGAGCACCCACACAGGCCGGGAAATCCCTCGCTCTGAATTCCCGACAGTCCCGAGAGCAGCTTGAAAATCCAAGAGCGTGGCGGGGCCGAGGCAGCAGCGTGCGAGAAGGGACTGTCAGGACAGCCCCGGGTGAGGTCCGACCTCCCGCCGGCGCTTCCCATCCCCGCTGCCGGCGCTCAGAGCCCGCAGTTGACAAAAGGGTGTCTCAGCAGGTCCTCGGCCGTCGGCCTCCGCTTCTCCTCCACGAAGATCTGCTTGAGGAAGTTGCGGCAGGAGCTGGAGACGCCGTCGGGGAGCTGGGGGTTGGTCGGCTGCGTGGCGATTTTAAAAATTGCCGCCATGGCCTCGAACTCTGCCCAGGGCGGCTTCTCCGTTAACATCTCCACCACGGTGCAGGCCACGCTCCTGCAACAACGCCGAGCAGAGGGTGAGGGACTGTGGATATTCTCAGTTCAGTCAGAGAGAAAATGAAGTTTTCTAACCAGGCAGAAGCCTGGGAAACAGTTGAGAAAGAATGTAAATAATTCTTTATCTCTCTTGTTGTTCACATTGTTTACAGATAAGCTCTGCCACTGTGCGTCATTCACTGCACACCAATGGTGTGAGATGTTTTTACTTCAGGACCAATAGAATTGGTCTGGACGAAGCTCTCTATAAAAAGAGCAGTGTATTTGAAATAAATCAGAGTTCTACTCTCTCCTTCTGAAGTGAAGTCATCTCATACCATCCTGCCTCAACAGCGTCAAGGGACTGTGGCAGTGGCCCCCCAGCTCGAGTCTAACCAGCTCTGGGATTGCACCTGCCCAAAGGGAACTGGGCAGGGAGCAAACCTGCGGGAGATGGGCACATACCCCTGGAATGTCTGGTCTCCTGAAGCTCCCTGGTCACACAGGTCCTTGGCACTCAACTCTCTACTCCCATAGCAGGAGTGAGTGCACGAGCCTTGCCTTAAAGCTGGTGGCTTTTCTGCCCGCTTTAACTGGCAGGTACTATGTTTCGTAAAAGCTCAGGGAAATACTAAGTTAACTGGCAGATACTAAGTCTCATAAAAGCTCACTGGAGCATCCCCTGAAGGGAAACCCATGCACAGCTTCAGACAGCACAGTTTCAACAACAGCATGTAGTTCCCAAGGAAGCTGAGCCAGAAGGAAACATATTTGCCTACATCCAACTTCATCTCTGAGGTGTGCCGTCTCTGAGAGGGAACAGGTGGGATGAGCAGCAAAGAGCCTGAGAGGTCTCCCTTGCTTTGCTCAAAATCCTGGTCTCAGCAGAGATACTCTGCCACCTCTACTCATGAATGATCCTAAAAAGAATTAAACCTATCCTATTGATCCTAAAAAAATTAAACATTTGCCTCACATCAACCACTGCAGGTGGTGCAGGGCACATGGACACCTGCTAAGGACTTTTTAGGTTTTCCCACACGATTAGGGGTCTCTTGGAAGGATTATTTTTTGTTGGCTCTCTTTGCTTGGGCACCCAACAGAAAGCACACTGGGAAGACATTGCTTCCTCCTCATATACTGGGAAGATTAGTAGTGCCACCCCAACTCCTCCAGGTTCCATCTGTCATCCTCCACAGGATGACATTCACAAGCAGCCCATGATTTTGGTTGTCTTCGTGCCTTAGCCACATGCAAACATCCAGCAGCAGATTTGGGAAGACCATGAAGATCCCAATAGCCTCTGAGTTGGGCTTAGTGAACCCAAAATCAGGGCCACCAAAACTCAACAGGTCTTTTAGTGAGCTTTGTTATCAACCTGTTTTCCAAAATCAAAATGCAGTTATGGGGATGAGCTGGATGTGAGAATCACACAAGACAAAAGTTTCTGAAAGCAAGTTGTGATTCTGAGTGCTCCTGTTTTGGGAATTTAGCTACAACAGGTTTCCTCCTGTATCTCCTATTTTCCATCCTTTGCACTGCTTCCAGCTACTGGCTATACCTGTTGCCCCCATTACAGCTTCCCAAAAGGATTGTTTGATTTAAGTAGCAATGGTGGGGTTTTTACTGCTTTCCTTACCACACATCAGCTTTCCTTCCATAGCCCTCTCCACTGATAACCTCTGGGCTCATCCAGTATGGTGTTCCCGTGACAGATTTAATCCCAGTCCCAGACATGCAGATGGTCTGGATGCGTTTGCTGGCCCCAAAATCTCCAAGTTTCACATTTCCAGCAGAATCTCTCAGAATATTGGCACCTGGGGTGAGAAGCAAAGACAAGACCCCCAAGAAATGAAGCAGGAACCCAAAGTGGCTACAGTGAGGTGAGCAGGAAGGGCACAGGCAGAGAGCCAGGCAGGGGGGAGCCCCAAGGGCTGTGGTGGGGCTGGACTCAGCATCATTTCAAATCCTTCTCTCCTAAGGCAGCTGCTCTCCAAGAGGGTTGACTCCCACCAGCATCCCCTCATTCAGCAGGTTTCCCAAAAATGAGCAGTGCATGGGGGCCAACAGATTATCATCCCACCCACAGAGAGCAGAAAGCAGCATCAGACCTCTCCAAATGCCAGAACACCTCAGTTCTTGGCTGTTACACCAGATTTTCAGACATGTAAGGGCAGTCAACAGTAGTCCCTTGAGAGAGAAAACAGCCCACGTTTTTGGTTTCAGCTGCTTGCTCAAGATTTTCATGGTTCAATCTGGTGAAGGGCAGGGACAACAACACTTCAAAGAGCAGATCCCAGCACTATGCTGTGCACAAGGACTTGCACTGGGGCAGGGGGAGGCTGGGCTGAACAAACCCAAGCAAGCAAGAAGCCTCTCTATTATCCACTCACCTTTAATATCCCTGTGGACAATCATATTGCTGTGAAGGTAGAAGACTCCCTGCAAGATCTGCCTGGTGTACTTGCGTGTGACATTCTCGGTCAGAGCACCGTAAGCTTTTAGCTGGTCCTTTATTGAGCCCTGTTGCAAACAAACAACACACACCAACTGTAAGGACCAGAGAAACCATCACATCACAGCAACTTGCTAAACCTCCCTGACCACTCTGTCTTCCAGCTCAATAAAAACCCCAAAACCCTATTAGCAGAAAAAAAAAAACCAGAAATCCACTAAGTGGGGAACAGAGCAAAGACTTGTCCTGGTGTCCCAGAGCCCTGGGGAGATGAAGTGTGGTTTGGTGCCTGGCACAGCTTCCTCCTGCCAACACCACAGACTTTCTTCCCCCTCTAGTGGCTGCAGGGGGGTCACTGACAGCTCGCTGAGAAGGACCAAACTGATGAGGATTTACAACTCAAATGAGAAGATCAACTCGATTAATTAGATTCATTGAATCTTTAATGTTGGAAAAAACCTCTGACACCATCCATTCCAATCATTAACCCAGCAGTGCCAGGTCCACCATTAAACTACCTGTTCTTTTGAGCATTTCCAGTGATGGTGATTCCATCACTTCCCTGGGCAGCCTATTCTGATGTTTAACCACCCTTTCAGTGAAGAAATTGTTCCTAACACCCAATCTAAATCTCCATATCCTCTTTTCCTTTCACTTCTTACCTGTGAGAAAAGAACAACTCCCACCTTCTACAATCTCCTTTCAGGGAGTTGTAGAGAGCCAGTTCTTTAGGGCCAAGATAATGAATCAGTCTTTGAAATCCTCCTCCCAAAACTTTGCACAGCAAGGAACACCCACAGCCATGAGGGACAACCAGCCCCAAAAGGGGCTGCTCCAACAAGACCACCCAGAGTAGATAATTTGCAAGTCCTTGAATTTCTGATCCAGGCAATGCAGGCTCAAACTGGTTTGATGATATTGATCAATGAGGAAAGGGAGCAGAGGTGCAGATATTTATCATCTTCAGCAGGCTGATCCTTTTGGTTTTAGCTGCATTTTTAGGCCACTTGGAAATGGATGTGTCTCACTGTGCCAGAGAGCTGGGTTTTAGCAGGGATGAACCAGAGGCAGATTTGGGGTTCATACTCAGCTCTACTTCTGGTATTCAGCTCAGCTGGGAGGTGGGAGGGGAAACTCATCCTGTTTCTGCCTGTCCTTCAGCTCTGGGGTTGATCCAGGATTGCCAGTCCTGTTTTGGGAGCAGCGGCTGCTCTGCTCCAAGCCAGCCCATCAAACTCTATTAGCTTTTCCACATCCACCCATCTCTGCTGCTGCTCTGCCCAGCTACTGTTTTGGCTTATTTTGAGGCTGGTGCTGATCCTGTGGATGGGCCTTTCCTCTTTCTCTCTCAGCACTGCTGAAGCAACCTGAGATGCTCTAAATGACCCCCTCAGTATAACCTGTATGCAGGGTACATTCCCTCACCATAACCAAAATAGATTTCTTATCCTGCCCTCCCTCACCCTGATGAGGGAGACAAACTCCCCTTCAAACAAGAAGGGGAAACTGGTTCTTTGAGGCCTTGGTCAATTGGACCATTCTGTTTTCCAAGAATAATTTAAAAAACAGTTTATGGGCAGGACAGAAACTACAGAGTCAGCTATTAACTGAGGGCTGTCAAAAGAATGGCAGCCCCAGGGTGCACCCAAACTTGGCCCTGTGAACATTTTGCCAAGCTGAGTGTCTCAAACTGGAAGCTTGGCCAGATCCAGCTTTGCAGAGCTGCTGTCCTGCAAGGTTTGGGAACTCCCTCACTTCCACTGGCCTTGGAAACCAGAGCCCCGAGCTGCTGTTGTCAAATGAGCTGTTGTTGCAGCAGCAAAGTCAATCTGTATTTGGTCAGAGCTCAGCTTTATCATTTAAAAAAACAAACATTGAATTTCCAGCCCTGCTGGACACTGCCTCAGCATTAAATGGTGGTTTCCTGGCTGCTAACAAACATCAGCATGCTGTGGAATAAGCAGCAAGGGGACTGCTGGAATTCCTGGGATTTACTCCTCTGGGTCCACACCTTGTGGCAGGGCCTGAAGGCAAGATGCCCACAGGGACAGGGGGAGGACAGGGCTTGGAAGGGACTCAGAGGCATGGAAGTCCACCTGATCACTCACATGAAAGATGCATTCAGAGAGCCTCTAGCACATTTACTTAATGACTAAAATTATTTGCAACCAAATGACTTAATTGTCCCTTCTGGCCTTACAAATCTCTGTATAAACAAGGGTTTATTCTCCCACACTCTGGGGAACAAATCCAGCTGGATAGAAGGGACTTAGGAGAACACATCCTCCAGCAATGTAAATAGCATTTTGCTGTTTTACACCATCAGTTTAATGGCTGACGTAATTCACAAGCTCACAAACACAAAGAGATGTTCAACTCACCCATGCACATTCTCCAGCCCCTGCTTAAACTCCCTCAAAGCATTCTGATCTTTTTCCCCATGACTATTTCATCCTCTATCAGCAAAGCCACAAATTGAAGTCACTCCTGCACAAGATAATGCTGCCCACAGAAAGCTCTGTCCTCAACAGAAGACTCTAAGTGAATATCACTGTTTCCAACACACACGTGCTGAAAGCCACAAGTAATTGGTGACAGCTGTGGGTGGACAGTTGTACTATTAGCTTGTCCTGCAGGGATTTGCAGTAAATACTTAAGGATGGGCTCAGGCCACAGTGTTTGGAGCAGGATCTGGATCATGTCCCACATTCACCAAGCTCAGATTGCAGACTGTGAACACACCCTGTTTCAGGATTCGAACCTAAAACCTGCCTGCAGGGCTTTTCATTTCACCCAGTGCCTGTTGAGGGGCTTCACCATGACAATTTACTCACATCCTGAGCTCTCCCAAGCCTTAGGGATGCATCCACTGCTCTGGTTTGGTTCATCAGCCATAAAACAGCTCAGCTGGACAGATACAAATTTCACCAAAGTCCAGGAGACTCTAAATCTGTTTTCTGCCACTCAGGACAGTGTTTAGCAGGAAGCACACTTACCCCTGGCATGTATTCCACAAAGATAGACAGTTTCTTCTCCTCAGGATCCCGCAGGCACCCGTAGTACTGCACGATCCTGTCGTGACGGAGAGTCTTCAACAGCTGAATCTCACATTCCAAAGCATTCACCTCCTGCAACAAACCACACAGCTCCTGGTGAAAGGGAACATGATATAATACTGCTCCAGGCTGAGCAGTTTTTGTAGCAGCTGTGAAGCTGTCCACAAAGATATTGGCCACACCAGGCTCAGAAATAAGGAGCACTGCCCTAAGGGAAAGGCAAGGAGAAAGACAGGGGTTGGCTTTGAGACAGGTTTTATTATAATTATTATCATTATTGTTATTACTTGTGTTTAAAGAGTTTTTCTGGAAAGATTTCAACAAAGTCACTGAGAATGGGGAGAAGGTGAAGGGAGCGAGAAGTACAAAACTAAGGAAGATCAGACAGACCTGCAAGAGATGATAAAGGACACAGAGGAGGCCAATGTAACCAAGGAACTGAGAGGCACAGAAGTCACCAGAGCACTGTGACTGGTGCCATGAGCCACTCAGGACTACTCCAGAGAGGGAAAACAACACCCTGTCTCCACACACTGCCTTCCAGGGACATGGACACCTCTACCCCCAGCCCACAGCTCCCCAGGGTGCTGCAGAACAGCCCTGCCCTTGTACTCACTTTACTTGTCTCCTGGCTGTCAGGGTCGAAAGGCACCTGCTTCACTGACAGCTCCCTCCCAGTGTCAGCATCATAGCAGAGATAAACTTCCCCAAAAGCTCCTCTGCCCAGCAGCTTCCCCAGCCTCCAGTTCACAGGTGCCTGCAGGGCTACAGGGAGAGGAGAGGGTTGAGAGATGAGCTCAGCAGGGAGAGCCTGCACAGCACCCTTCAGCATCAGGGTCCAGCTGACCCTACAGGGCAGGCAGTGAGCTCCTCTCTCCCAGGTGCACCAGGACAAACCAGTTTTAACTACACTGGTGCTGTTGGTGTGAGGGGAATGTCTCCCAGTCATCATTAGCATAAAGCACAAACAAATCCAGAAAAGTCCTATTTCATTAAGAGTCTTTTCTCCCAATGTTGGAATTTCCCTTCTGCTGTGGGAGAGTTTAGCAGAACAGAGGATGGCTGAGCAGCAACCCAGGCAGAGACCAGTGAGCAGGTTTATCTCACTGGTCACTTCTAGGATGTTAACCATCACTAAACACACCCAAAAATGCACCAGTTTCTATATCATGGGCAGTGTTGCAATAGCAGAGGAGCGTGCAAGACCATCTTTGGGTGCTGGGGTGACAGCAATGCAAGCCAAGGAACAGAAACTCTGGATGCATTTGCTCCCACATCCCAAGCTGACAGTCCCACACACCTGCAAGTGGTGAACACCATCTGACCCCACTCAGCTCTCAGCCAAAGGCCAAGGTAAGACACAGGGTGTTGGACTAAACCTTCTCGTGGCACAGAAGCTGGTGCAGTGTGCCTCACACTGGGGGTGCAATCAGAGTTTACCCATGGCTGCTTAGCTGATGTCCAGTGACTCAGCAGGTGACAATAACTCAATTTTGTGTCAAATCCCAGCTCTGCTCTCAGCACTCAGGGGTTTGGTTCACTCACAGTTCCTGGCTTTTGTTGGGGAGGTGCTGAAGGCCTGCAGACCCTTTTCACAATTGTTCCAACACTTGGGTCTGTACTCATCATACTGCAAGGTGCTGAGCTTGCTGTCCCCAGTGAAGCTCTTGGTTCTGCTGGAAGGGACCAGCTGAAACAGGTTCTCCTGTGGGAAGTAACTCCTGGGGAAAGTCCTCCGGCCTGCAGGGAAGAAGGGGTAAAATTACAGCCAGAACACACACACCAGCTTGGACACACCTGTCACCACCTTCTCACATCACTGCCCAGATCCTCACCTCTTCAAATTAAGCAAAGCAGGTGTAATGAAACTGAAGCAAAGGCCTGTGAAGATTTTAAATTCAATTTAAGAGTTGATAACAGCAGGCATTACATCTAATGTAGATGTTTCCAGAGGGTTTTGCAACAGTTTAATTACATCAGGGGGTTGGTTGGTTGTTAATCACAATTAAACACTGAACAGGCAGAGATTTACATTGAAAATTATCCCTGCCATCCCCTAAGTCCACATGCAAATGACCACACAGCAGGGCCAGACCTGCTTTCACAGGGGTGTCAGTGAGAGATGAAGCTCATTCTGGAAAGATCCATATGCTCTCTGCACATCCTCAGTACATTTTTCCCAAGGGAATTTTTGCCTCCCACTACTTGCTGTCTCATACAGTGACAGAATGAGCAGGAAAAAGATGATGGAGTTGGCCCCAAAGCTCAGAGCTCACCAGCTTGAAACAGAGAAGCAAACAGATACTGCTTCCCTGAAATTGCTTGGGGATTTCCTATGGCTCAGTGAGAAACCTGCTGTAAAGGTCACAAAAATCATCCTCAAAAGCAAGCAATTTAGGAGAATAGGAAGGTTGATACTGCCAGGGATGAGAAATGCCAATCATCCCCATGGCTAAATTAAAACAGGAGGTGTAAGCAGAGGACAGGCTCAGCTTTTCCCAACACGGTCTCACAGAGAACACCCTTCTGAACACACAAGTGAATCCCAAAGCACTTGGTGGTTCTCCCTTTATCAGAAACCTCTCCTTCCCAAGTGTTTCCAGTCTCAGGCACTGTCAGAAGCCAGCAAGGACTGATCACCTCCCTCCCTGAGCCCCCATCATGTCCTTACCATCACTGTAGTCCTTGCGACTTTGGGAGAGATGGTACTGCCTCGGGAAGGTCCCACCTTTCCCAAACCTCTCACAGAATGGGATGTCAAAATCTGGCAGGAGGGAAGAAGACACAGATATTTCTGAGATCAGCTCAGTTTCAAGTGCCCAGAGTGTTTCTTATGGCAAACACTGAGTTAGAGCCGAGAAGGAGGTGACAAGGTGTTCATTTACACAACCCTACACACCCCAAGGCTCCCTGTGAAATCTGCCCACAGTCACAAACCCTTCAGTGGAAAATCAGGGTTAAGCACACTGCCCTTACTGCCCCTAAAGCAGAGGTTTAACTGCTGAATTTATGGACCCTGGCCCACATTGTTCAAGTGCAAGGCAGGGGATTAACACAGACCAGGCTTGGTTTCCAAGGTAGAGCACTAAAACATCTTATTTGCACTTGAAAAATGCAGAAAAAAAAAATTAAAAAAGAAACCAAACTGTCAGGCAGGGTTAGGTCTAGACACATCCACTCCAAAACTTTTGCTCTGATATCAGCTATTTCCAGGGAAATGCAGAAAAATCCAGCACTTGACTAACACCGGATAATATCTCCCCTCTTTCTTCTCAGATGTTACTCCTCCCCTCTGAAAGCCAATTTAAACCTCCAGAGCTCCAAACTTTTATATTTATTTGATTAAATGCTAGAAAGATAGAATATACAGAAGGGATTACAGACCATCACAGTTTAGACACTGGGTTATGAGAGAGATGGATGGACATGCAAGATAAGGACATATTTTTTTAATAAAGACCACAGCACAGGAAGCCATTGCTGGTAGCACCAAATAACTTGAGATTAAAATATCTGTCATTCCACCCCCTTCTTTCACCTGCTGTTTTTCCTCCATCCAATTCTAATGACACAGCCCCTTCTGACTGTTTGTTTGTCTTAGCCTGGGGCCAGCAGCCGCTCCTCAGAGGCCACTGCTGGCCTCTGCTGTATTTAGGTGTGATTGCCAAAAAGAGCACATAATGGCTGAAATATGGTCAGCAAGAGGAGCAACAAGGACAGGGCAAGAGGTTCTTGGTGAGCCACGTGTGAGCAACAGTGCCCAGAGGTGTCTCAAAGCAAAATGCCACGGGGGAAGCATTAAAACCTTCAGCAACAAGGGCAGACTGCAGCTTCATCTCTGCAGCCCAATCTAGAAATCCTGCCTCAGGCCAGCAATGAGTTATCCTGCCACAGGCTGGCTGCCATTTGCTCATTTTTAATAGTGCAAGTCATTACAATAGTACAGAGTTTCCATTATTTAACCAGCTGGATGCTTCTGAGTGATTAAGCAGTAACCTATGATCTGTGCAAGCACCACTACAGTTTCTCTCACAGCGTTTGCACTATTGCAGATTATTATTCATGCAAGTGGAAGAGGTGTAACTCCCTAGAGAGTTGGGGTTTGCTATGTAGGAAGTGGAGATCCTGAAGGGCAACTCAGAGATGAGGAAAGAGAGACAAAAGCTGATCCTACAAGGCTGTTTCCAGCTTGTCAGCACCTTGCAGTTATCTGCAAACACAAGAGCAATATCTTCCAACACAGGTCTCTCAACATCTTTCCTGGCTTGCATCCATCCACCTCAGGGCCCCAGCTGCCCAGTTTGGACTATGGTTGCTGTCAATTGATTCCCAAACCAGTCCCAAAAGTATTGCTGCAGAATCACAAAGTGTTAATGAAGACAACAGCAGCCCTGCTATGTTTGATGCTCTGGGCCTTTTGATTTTAGAAAATATTCATGTCTGGTCATTGCAGGGTCAGTTCTGAAGGGTTACCCAAGCCATGGAGTTGTCTTGCTTGATTGCTTTTAATTACTTTTCATGCAGTGCCATCTCTCTAATAGTCTTTACCCAGCCTCTTTACTATATGTTTTTTATACTTTTCAGCAAATATAAACCACCAAGAGTACTTACCCATGCAATCAAGACTGTCTTTGGGACGGCTCTTCCTTCCAGGAACAGGGGTTTGGGGAAAGGGAGGGCTGCAAAGGGATTAAAAAAAAAAAAAAAAAGGATTTATTTATTTATTACATCAGAACAGCTATGGAATTAATACACTAAGGAAAGGACAGGATAAACCACAAGCTGCACTGACCACTGAGCTCCCATCCTCCTCCTGCACAAGAATGAAGATTGTTTTTTTGGCTGGATCACAGCTTGTTCCTGTGGCAAACAAAAGGGATGCTGCAAAACCCACAGTCACCAGGCTGAAATGAAGCAGCCAAAGATCATCACCCCTGTGCAGGAGGCAGCACAGAAGGAGGGCCACAGGCTTCTGCTCCCTCAGCACTAAGTGTTCAACCACACACCTCTGCTTTCCCTGAACACTGCCCAGCTGCTGCAGGTGCACACACCAGAGTCCTTCAGCCATGCTCAGTTCTGGCAGGTTTCCCTCCTGCCCAACATCACCTCCCACACAGACTGCACCACCACTGGAACATGCAGCCTCCCACGGGACCTGGAGGGACAGTGTGGCATTGGTGCCTCAAGGCTCAAGGTCTTTAAACTACACTGAGAGGATGGAAAAGCACTGCAAGGGGATTTCTGCAATCCCAATTTCACCCCAGACTCTTCAAGAGTGAGTTGGGCATGTGAGTTTTCCACTTACTCTTTTAACAATATGGGCACAGAGTAGAAATCAGCTTTGTACGGTGCTCTGAAACCTACTCATGTCAAAGCTGATCACTGCTGTGGCAAAGAGTGGTGCTGTTCCTAACCCTCAGCCTGGTCACTGAGCCTGTAAATTGTTCTGTCCTCTTGGGCTGATGCCATCCCAAACAACTGGCTGCAAGGCCTCTGCCACCTCTTTGCAGGAATAGTCCCACTTACTCCTCTTCCTTGGAATAATACAGCCTTCCTTGTGCCTTTTACAGCTCCTAGACCCATGACTGGACACATCTGCCTGCGTTGGACATGAAAGGTCATGCCACCCTCTCACAGACAGAGAGCTAAAAGCCTAAAGCTCTCCTCTGAGTTCACAGCAGAGTGTTATAAACAGCCCGTGCTCCTTCTGCTGTTCTTCTTGGCAAAATCTGTGCAAAAGCAAAGCTGGGGCAGAGAGGTTGGGAACACAAGGAATCCAGCTTCCATACAGCCCTAACAATGAGCAAATACATCACAGGAAATTATTAAAAGCCACAAAAAGGAAATGGACCTTGATGCTGAGACAGGTCCAAAGCACACGGAGTTGCAAACCCGAAGCACAATCTGCCCAAGGCAGGCCTGCTGGAACGCAGCCTTGGGGCTGGATGGCAACAGCAGCAGCGGAAAAAAATAGACAACCTTTGATGCAGATGGAAAAAAAAAATAGACTGCTTCCCAAAAGGACACTGTGTCTTATCCACAGCTCACCCTGCACAGCAGCAAACACAGGGATTCTGTGCACGTGTGAGCTGGGACCCAGCTCAATGGCACCAGGCACTGAATCGCAGCCTGGGTTAGTACAACGTGTCCCAGTTGCTTCCTGCTGAGTAGCTAAACTTAGTTACTGCTCATCTGGTGTCCTCAGCACCTTGACTGACACGTCTGTGGCTGCTGGCACTGCACAGGGGCTGCTGAGCTTGCCAGTGGCCAGCGGAGAGCAGACAGCGTGCCCGGGGAGGAGGAGGCACGGAGAGGCTGATGGAGTATTGACCTGGTGACTGCAGAGAGCCAGAGGGGAAGGAGGTGCTGTGAGGGTGGTGTAGCACTGGAACAGACTGCCCAGAGAAACTGTGGATGCCCAGCCCTGGAAGAGTTCAAGGCCAGGCTAAATGGAGCACTGAGTAACCTGGTCTAGTGGAATCTGTCCCTTCCCATAGCAGATTGAACTGGATGATCTTTAAGGTCCCTTCCAACCCATACCATTGTGTGATTTTCTGAGAATTTTCATCTCAAAAGGCAAAAAAGAAAACCTGGTCACACAAAACTAGGCTGTCTTTGTCCAGCTCAGATTACTGCAGTTCAAATCATACCATTGCACAGATACCTGGTTTTCAGCAATAAAGATAAATTTGCTTTGCTCAGATGCATCCTCATCCCAACAGAAACCTCAGGGGTTATCAGAGATCCTGTTGCTTTCTTGCTATGGAGCAGAGGCTGCAGTTCTGCTTGTGAACATGGAGACACACACAACAACTCACCTGTCCACAGACCTGTCCAGAGACTGGCAGCTCCCAGACAGAGAGTCATCGGGGCTGATGAAAGCTTCAAGCATCTGACAGAGAAAGGAAAGGGGAAACAATAAAACCATGCACTGTAGCTCTCCAAGCTCCAGAACTAGCAGACCTCTGCAGGGTCATCCATTTATGATGCCTTCTCTGCATTATTGCTCTTTCTAACTGCTACTTGCTGATAGGGAAACTGAAGCAAAGATCACCAGCACCCTGATGTTCAAAGCGTGCGGAGAAGTCAAGGAGATTCAAAGCGCTCAAAGCATTCGTGAGAAATAATAATATTACCACTACAGGAAAATATGTATCAGGACAGCAATGATGCGCCCAAGGCCAAGTGGATATTGTGTACCACAGCCAGGACTGCAGCCCTGGGCTCCTGACTTCCCGAGCTGCCCTGGCACTCGAGCCCAGCCTTCCTCTCTGCTGATAAGTGCAGCATCATCAGAGTTTTTGGCTGGAAGAACGGGCTTGGCACTCACCAGCTCAGTGAGTCAAAAGCTGCATTTGTCTTGCTTCCTGGATGAGACATTGTACTGGCCAGGGTTATTTATAGCTGGTTAGCAACAATAGAGGGTTTTGTGTGGAGTGGTAAACCCTGGAGGTGTGTGCACTTCCACGAGGAGCAGAGCCACACTGTGCTGCTGGCAGTGCCACAGCAGTGCCATGCTCCCTCCTGGCTGTGGACATTCACTAACCCCTGCTCCACAATTCATTCCTGGGAAAGCTGAGCAACGAGGGTTAAACGCCATGTGGAGCCACACTTTGCTGCTTCCCGCATCGCTCCTCCTTCCCCACCAGGCTCCCTTTCCACAGGCTGCTCCCATCAGCTCTCCTCAGCCGCTGTCAGCACAGCTCGTGCTGCTTTGGCCAGGCAGGCCCAGCTGCAAAGTGCAATTCTTCTCTTCCTAGTTTTTACCCTAAAACCTCCTTCAAAATGCACTAGGCCAAAGAGGAGCAAACACTCTGACAGAAGCCACTCTGCCAGCCATGCCAGGCCTCTTCCAGCACTTAAAGCTGAAACAGACTCATTTCTCAAAAGCATAAAATTGTGAATTGGAGCATGCTCCATATTCAGCCTCTGTTCATCTGCCAGGCTGGTCTCAAGACCACAGTTACATCACAGGCTTGCACAGGGACATTCCCCAAAAGGCAGCAAGATCCAGCTCCTGAGTGGTTTTGCATGAGGCACATATGGAAGCAGCAGTACAAGAACATTCTGAAGGCAAAGCCCATATAGGGAAAAGCATAGCTGCTCAATGAGCGAAGACAATAAACCCCAAACAATTCCCCAAATCCCTTTTCCCTGCTTTTACTTCTCCAGCAAAGGGCTGTGGGCCACCCACAGCGTGATGCTGGGGAAAATCAAGGAGAGCATCTGGGAACCTTCATCCAGAGCAGGCTCAGGGCTCTGAATTAATGCAGCTCCACAAACAGCCGGTGGAGCTGGGCTGATTTACACCCAAGGGGGTCACAGAAACCCTCCCCCTGCACACACACACACACACACACTTTGTCTTAATCCTCCCCAACATGTTTTGGAGGCATGTGAGAACAATAGAGAGCCAACTTTTGGCTGCAAGGAGCACATGCTACATCTGCACTCTGACGCTGCCAAGACTCACCCAGAGTGACTTCTTATTTTATTAATGGCTGTATAATAAACTGTTGAAAACACAACTTTGCCATGGAAACACTGGCATAGCCTGCATGCAAATGTGGAGCTAGTGGGTGCTTTTGAGTATAGGAAATACACATCTCCCCAGGAACATCCTTGGGGGCCAGCATAGCAGCCTGATGGATTGAGTTTAGTGCCTTCCAGATGTCCCTCCATGCCCCTCCTGCAAACTCTGGATCTTGGTCCTGTGTTTCCAAGAGCTTTGTAAGAATGACATGTGCTCAGACAGCCCAGCTGACTTCACAGGATCTATACTAAGCTCTTCAGAGCTATAGGCTGAGCAAAAATGCAAACGGAGAGGGAAGTATAAGCTGCTCCCACTGTGGTCCCTTGACACTGCAGAGTTTCCCTCACTGTGGGTACCAAATTGACTGGAGGATGGGGTACTGCTTAGCACTGAGGAAAGTGCTGCTCTTCTATTACTGAGGCACTGGAATATACAATTTCCTTATTAAGAGAGTTTAAAAAAATATAAATGGGGGAGGGATAGAAACACAAAAGCACAGAGGCTTTGGGCAGAGCCAAGAACCGTAACTGGAGCCCAGGCAGCAACACCACATGGAAAGCAGCCAGAGCTGCTGATGTCCCCAGGCTGCTGCAATCGCTGGCAATTGGTTGCTTGGCACATTCCCTCATGGTCCTGGGATCTGGGAATGCTGTGGCCACAAGGGCCTGGCAGCTGGTGCACATGTGTGCCCCAGATCTCTGCTGCTCCAGAGCTGCCTAAGGTGCCCGGGCACATATGCCATTCCCACTGGCTCTCAGGGTTCCTGGAAATCAGACTTTCCCAGGCATGTCAAGCACGGGGGCACCCATTCCTGCCAAGCACAGGCACTGCCCGAATGCAATGGTGGGAACAGCTCTCCCAGGGCAGCCTCCTGGCACCCAGCAGGGCTGTCCCCTTGCAGCCACGCCCCAGCCCCACTCACGTTCTGGTCCATGGTCTCGGGGATGAACTCGCCCTCGCTGTTGATGCTGGTGTAGGATCCCTGGCGGGCGATCTGCTGCTGCTCCTCGGGAACGCTGCCCGGCGGCGGAGAGCTGCGGCCGGTGTGCAGGGAGCCTGAGACAGGGACAGACACGGCTCAGGGGGGACCCACCGCTCCAAACCCCTCCAGAAACGCTGTTCCAGTGACCACACAGGATCCGAAATCAAGCAACCCCCGACGGGAAAAATTGGTGATGTCTGGCTCCAGATCAACATGCTGAAGGATAGCTTGATTAAAACTATACTATCTCACATCAATATACTATTTAAACAGATACTATCCTATTCTACATACTTGCTTTTTAACTTACTGTATCTAACTAACTCTAACAAACTATTTTTTTTTTAACTAACTCTAACAAAACTCCTGATATTTTGTTGAGAGTCTGAGACAGTTGGATCTGATTGCTTATTGAACCTAAATAACTTATAATTTCATCAAGTAATTGCTTCAGCTAAACAATCACCATACTAAATTCTACATGGAGTAGAGATAAAGATTGTTTTCTCTTCTTCTCTCTGTGCTTCTCCTGAGAGACAAAATTATGTCTCTCTGTCCAGAGAATGTGAATGTCACAACAGAGCTCCTAGAGATGCTGCTGGGTTTGAATTCATGAGGATGGGAATGGAGTTAGAGGTGTGATGCTGTTTATGGGCATCCTGCAAAGCTTTAGCAACAGGGAGGGTTTGTTACTGTGGGACAGACTTGACCTTCAACACACCCTGGATCCTAAGAGCTGTCACTGTATCCAGGTGTGATGCTAGAAAGGAAAGAGCTCTGGGAGTTCTGCTGTGATACAACCAGTCAGTCTCAAAGCAAACCACAAACCCACCTCGTCTTTGACCTCTGGGGCAGGTCACTGGCTTGTCCAGGCATGTGGGATACAGCCCAGCTTTGGTCAGTGCAACATCACTGAAACACTTGTTATATGGAAAAGAACTTGCACTCAAAACCCCTTTTCCCTACAAGAAAGTAAAGACAAAGGAAAACCACCCTCAAATCCAAAGCCTCCAGGACAGGAATGACCTATTGGATTGATTTGTCCCATTTTGGGCCAAGGGAATTGTCTCTCCTGTCTATAACCCCAGAGCCTCTACCCTGTGCATCCTATGCACAGACAGCAAAGTTTCCACTGGCTCCCTTACAGGGCTCATTTAGCAGAAGGTGATTTCCATTTTGCACCTGGGAGAGAACCCCACAGCCTCTTTATGAAGTTGTTCCATTCCTCCTGTTTATTCCCCCAAATCCACTCTATCCTCGTGCCTTTTCCAGCTTTAGGGAGTGCTGCCCTTGTTTGGCTCAGCTGCACAGCCTTGACTCTGCTTGACTGCCTGCAGTCCCTCCCTCCATCCCTGTGCTGTCACCACTCCATGAGGATGGGAATGGAGTTAGGGATGTGATGCTGTTTACATGGCAAGGAATTGCTGATGGAGATCCGTGTGATCCGTGCTGGAGCTTCAGCTGGCATCGTGCAGTGTGAGCCTTCACACACACAACTTGTTTTCATGCAGACTTCTGAAAAGTACACATCCTTGAGCAGATAGAAAGTACATGCAGATGTGTTTCCTCACATTTTGTGGCACTCTTTTGTGGTTCATTCCCACCATTTGCTAACAACATGCTCAGGGCTGAGCACAAGAGAAGGGCACTGGGAGGGGGCCTATCCCATCATGGAAAGTCAACACTGATCTATCAACACAGCACTTCTGCCTCTTCTGCATGGCAGCTACTGTGCCAGATGGATCTCTGCAATAAATCCATCTGCATGATCAACACTACCAGCCCCAGTTCCCACCTTTCACTTAAGCAGATACACATCAGGAGCTGTGCATGTTAACAGTCTCACACCAGCATTAAAGATGATTAAATCAGGCCTTTTTGCTGGATTTACACCAAACACATAGATTTGTCTGTCCCATGCTGCATCTTCTTTCTAACTCCTTGCTTAGACTTTAAAAATAAAAGTCATATGGCTTTGAGTTACTTTTTTTTTCTTCTTCCTATTTTCTCCTTCACAGATTTCCTGCAGGATAAGAACACAGTGAAAAAACTCCAACTGAAGTAATGCCAAGATCAAGAGGAGAGAAACTCTTGAGTGCTGCAGCACTCATAACGAACTGGCTTTCCACCAGCCCTAAAACAAAACCAGTTGGGAAGTACAGCATCCTCTCTTTGAAGATAAATAAATAAACTTTTAACTGTTGAGCAGTTCAGACACCCTGAATAAATCACTGCATCAGCAGCCCCTGGTTTGCTTAGCAGATGCCAATCTGGCATGCAGCACAAGGACATTTGGGTGGCTCTTGCCCCAAAAAGCTGCTGGAGGATTTAGTGAGGTGTAACTGCTGTATCTTAGCTCTGCTGAGCATTTCTGTTACTGCTGCAATGAGGTGTGGATCTGCTCATGCACTACTGGGATATCTTGCTCCAACAACCCACTTGCTATCCAGAAAACCTTTGACTATGATTTTACAAAGATCTGTACATGGCCTGTTTGACTCTGAAACCAGAGAGTTAAACCAGATTTATCACAAGCACAAAGACTTCCCATGATCTCCCATTAAGCCTTTGCCTGCAGCAACTACTCCCAGCAATAGATCAGCTGTATTTGACCTTCCAGAGCCACATTTCCTGCCAAAAACTTTAGAAGGGGATAAGACACCAGCTATTTCCCAGCAGGTAAGGAAATTAAACAAAGTGCTTAGGCTTTTGCATGCTTGGAAACTGTGGGAGTGAAACAGATCCCTTTTCAGCCAGGCTGTTGGGGTAGAAATGCTGCCCAAATTAATTTTTGCAGCTTCACACCTCCAGGAGCACTGGTTGCTGATGCTTTGCATGTTCTTCCACCTGGGAGAAACATGGGGAGGTGCTGGCAGCAGAACTCTGGAGCTCAGGGTTGGTTCCTCACTCCAGCCCCATCCTGCTCTGTTAACAAAACCTCAGACAATCCTGGTGCTGCTGGAGGAGAGGAGGAATGGAAAACGGGACAGAGAAAGAGAGTAACAGTGGTTGGTACTTCATGGCAGGCTTAATTCATAGTGGGGAAAACACATTGGATGTATTGGATAATGCTGATTAATCCACCCTGAGGCAGAGGAAGGAACAGACAGAAAATCCCAGATGTGCCCGTTTGACACACCACAGATGCTCTTCACACTTGCCCTAATACTCAAGAAACAGCAGCAGCACCAGGCAGGGAGAGGAGGCCCCCAAGGGACTGTCCTGGGGTCTGTGGGAAAACATGCCAGCTCCAGTGGGGATGGGGCTGGCTGGGAGGCACTTCTGTACAGGCAGAGTGCTGGTCAGAGCTCAGCAGCTCTGTTTGGGATTCCTGCACTCAGAGCTGGCCCTGCTTGAGCAGCTGACCCGAGTTACCCTCTGCAGCAAGGTGCTCTGGGGAGGGATTCCTGCTCCACGTTACACACACGAATGTAAAGCCATAGATTTGAGGCGAGAGCACAGCGTGTCCTGAGGACAGAGAACCAGGACAGCACGGAGACTCGAGTCACTGCTGGCACCCACTGGGGCCTTTCATGTTCCCTTCTGATATTTTTATTTAAGAAGTGCCTTTCATGCAGTATGTGCAGAGCTCGTGGTGCTGCACGTACAGGCAGCTCCCCTGTGCCAGGCTTGGCTTCCCTCCGCCCCCGCATTCCCTGGCTTCATCTTCCCCTGCTCTTCCCAAAACTTCACCCACTGCTGACCAGCATCCAGCAGGGGAGAGAAGCCCCTGCACAGACAGAGCTGGGGAGGGTTTGCTGGCAGCTGCCACCACTCACAGCTGCAGCCATGGGGAGCCCAGCCCTGGGATGACGTTCCCAAACAAGGGACAGACTCAAGATGTGCTGCTCCTCTGAGCCCTGGCAGAAACACCAGGCTCAGGACAGGGCTGCACGGCAGAAGGAGAGAAACCTGCTGGAAATTTCTCTCTCTGGGACTGTCACGGAGAGCTGTGAGCAGATGGATCAAATCTTCCTTGATTTCTTCTTTTCCAGTGGGATCCCTACAAGCCTCCCTCCTCTCCTTGCTGATCCTTCTGAGCATGGATTTCTACTTTTTGATTTGAAGCAAATTTAGGGTACTTTTAAACTAATAAGCAAGACAGAACCTACTTTCTAGTTGTAAAGCAGCTGGCATGATGCACATAGATAAATTTTCCTCCTCTTCTCAAAACAGAGCAGGTGTCACCCATCCTAACTCCTGCAATACTCCTGGTCTGGAGAGAGCTGGCAGGCACATAAAACCATGGCTCAGCAGCCTGGCTTTTAATGAAAAAAACAGTAAAATAAAACTTCTAGTAAATGTTTCTATTGAAATGGTGATGCTGGAATAGGTCTGTTAAATAATTTTTGGATACTGTTCTGAAACATGCATTTCTTCAAAGTAAATAAAAACAATCCTCAGTTATCTGAAAATCCAGAACCCAAAAAGTTATCTTTTTTCAGTCCAAGCTCCCCTGTACTTTTGCTGGCCACCAAAAAACTGGAAGGGAATTTCCACTGAAAAAGTTTATGGGGAAAAAAAAAAAAAAAAAAAAAAAGAAAATATTGACTTTGCATAAGGTTTTTCAGGGACACGGCATGATGACATTTTCTGCCCGGCTGAAGCAAAAATAGCTAAATCTTCCCCAGAACATCTACCTCCCTTCCAATGTGCTTGTGCCAATTACATACAGTTTTATTATTTTCCACTGCTGTTTACATGGCAGAGTCAGCAGAAAAACATGAGACATCTCAGAAACACGGAGAACATGACCCTGAACTACTTTTTATTATAAAGACACTTTAAATCTCCTTTTATATGTGGTTTCAAGAGAAAAGCTGAAGTGAATTAAGATCCTCTTTTGATAGCAACCACTTTGATGACAGCAGAAGGAAAACACTGTGAAATGCCTTGTGACTGGAAGGGAAGGAGAGTTTCTCCTACAGAATTCCCAGCCTCTTAGGATGCCTTTTGACTGTGCACCAAGTTCAGTGAAATCCCCACTGCAGGAAAACAAAACACAGCATCATGTCTGTCTGTCTGTTCCCTGACGCTGGGTTTTATGCTCCATTTGAGATGCTGCTCTGCCTTTCAGCTTGCTGCAGTTTCTGCCCAGCTGCTGGATTGCCCAGTTCTGACTCAGGAGGTCAAAAATGCATCTGCTGCATTGTGAGCACCCCCTAAACAAAGCTGCAGCAGCTTCTTACAGACCCCAGATAGCCCAAAGAGAGGAGGGACCTTCTGCTGTCATGCTGAGGGCTTGCTGAAACCTCTTGGCAAGAATGATGGCTTACATGGAAAAAGAAACAGGTATGATTGATGCTTGGGCTGGTTGCTTTTGCCACCTGACCACATAAAAGTGCCAAGGACTCAGAGTTTGGCACATTAGCACCTGAAAATCTGAACATTAGCACAATCTGCATCCCACAGCTGGTGCTGCCCAGTGCTCCTCCTCCGTTATCTGACTGAAGCAGCACATTATGTCCATTCTTCCACTCTGCTCTCCAAGCATTCCCTCAAAATCCATTTGTACCTCAGGTTCTCACCCTTGCAGAGCTGAAATCTCACCCTTTGTCTGCCTTGCCTTGGCTCAGGGCATTCTTAAGGCAGTGACACCTCACAGTCAGTGGTGCAGAGCTGGTGAGGAACCAGCAGCTCCAAAGCATGGCAATAAAAGCTGGTAGGAAAGGCTTAACTTTGCAAGAACCCATCTTCCCACTAGCACAGCTACACATGGAATCAATCCTGCCCATCATGCTCAGACTCACACATCAGTGACAGCTCCCAGTGCCACAGCTCTCTGCTCATTAACAGCCTAACATGTACAAAGAAAAAAACAACAACAAAAAAAGCAGCAGAGAAGTTTTGCTCAAGCATTTTCTGCTGAGATTCTGCTTTATGTGTGCATTTCATTCAGGATCATCTAGTGACTCTGCCAAATTCTCAAAAACCATGTGAGCTAGGAAAAAAAAGAAAAATACAAGCCTGGTACATCCAAAGACCAGGCTCAAGGAGAGCCCTTGCACATGTGCCATCCACCCCTGGCATCAGTGAGAGCTGGGCATGGCTGCATAAAGGGTATGCTGGACCTACATTTTCTATACATCTTGTCTGAGATGCAGCAAACCACAGGATATGTTATCAGCACAAGCTATGAAACAGAGAAGGGGCAAGTCCTTGGAAAATACCCTCATTTGTTGCACAGAGAAGAGTTTGGAAGTATTTACTGCCATATAAGTACAGAGGATCCTTAGAGGATTAAGTATTTCTCCATGTGTATTTCTGAAGAAGGGCCCCACTTTATTCAAGGCTGTCAGTTCTACAGCTGGCAAGTACTGGCATGAAAATTATAAAGATCTGTAGAAATTACCCCATAACCTGCACCCACAGACACAGCAGAGAACATTCCCTGTGTGAAAAAGTCATTCATCCTGCCTGCAGGCTGGAATATGAATAATTATACTCCTGCTATACTGCTTCACCAGCTCTGCACAAGGCACCCTGCTCTCTACAAAATCCTCTAAGGTTCTTCACAGAAGTTCCTACAGACAGCTGACCAGGATTTCAAAAAGCTCCAAGAATTTTAGAAAGCAAGGAAAGCATAAACTCAAGCTCAGAAGACTAAAGGGAAAACCACACAAGGCTACAAACCAACTCCAGTCCCTGCAGGGCTGCAAGAGCAGATCAGGAGTTTGCCAGCCTGGTTTCAGGGGTTGCAGGTACCTATTTCCAGCATCTCTAAACAAAAGGGATGCTCCCCTTCCTCTGCTATGTCACCACTGCACACACACCCCTGAGAAATCCCAGAAACAGCTACCACAGGTGTCATTTCACCCACAAAAACAGACTGGTGGCAGACAGACTCTTATTTGATCTTTACGTGGTGAAGCTGGTCCCAGACCAGGAGCTAAGGAGCCTGAGCCCACTCAGCTACATTATCCTGCCACCTGAGAAAGGGGGACAGGTACTCAGAGAACAACAGCACACGTTTAAAGGAATAACCAAAGATCCCAAACTGCCTTGGCTTTCTACAGATTATCACTCTTCACTTTGATAAACCTCAAATTAACTGGAAATTTTTATCACTGCATTTCCCACCCCCAAATTACACCCAGGCTCCCTATTCTCTTCATTTCTGTGCTCAAAGTGACTCTGCTCAGCACAGCCTCGCCCAGCCTGCAGAGCCTCTCTTCCTCAGCCTGAGGATGAGCAGACACTGCACTGAGTCACTCTGGGGGACAGCAGGGTGGCCATCCAGACTGTTACACCCATGGGGCTGTGACAAAAAAAGGAGGGAGAGGCTGGTGGCCAGGTTGAAACAGCACAGAACAGCACAGAGAGGGTTGTGTTTCACTCACCTGTGGAATACTTGCGCGTCCTCTCGGAGTCTTTGTACAGGGATCCCATGATATCGCCCATGGATCTGGAGATCCTCATCTCATGCTGCTTGCTGTTGTTGGGCTGCAGGAGCTGATAATCAGACAAAGGGAATGATCAGAACTAGCCAGAGCCCTGTGGATACACCATGTGAAACCCTGTGTTTGGCTCCCTATGACCCTATTACCCAAGAACTATTAAAAAAAAAAAAAAAAAAAGAGAGAGAGAAAGAAAGAAGACATGCACGTAATCTAGAGTGATCCAAAAACCATTCACAAACAACTCACATCTGCTAATAAAACAGTCTAATAAGATAAAGCTCCCACAGATAATGGCAAATACAGATATTCGACATAAAAGACTATTCCTGCACTCTGTTATCTCCAGATAGGTGCAGAGACTGATCACTGGACTGAAAACACTTGCAATCCCAAAATCAGCACCTCTCTGTGCCCCCTAGACTCCAGTGGCAGCTGAGGCATTGCACAGGTTCCTCTACAACAGGGCAGAGGGACAGAGAGGGAAAGGTCAGAAAGGGAAGGGCAAAGAAAAGCATATCCAGCTGGTAACCTGGTAGTGGCCAGGTTTTACTAAGATTCTAAGACCACATGTTACAGTGCACTGTGATTTTATGATAATTTTCTGTATGACCTCAGAACCGTGTGCTCTCACACACAGGACCATGGCCACATGCTTCAGGAAGAGATGGAGCTGCTCTCAAAGGCAGGCAGCAATCCACCTGGCTCCTCTGCTCTCAGCAGCTGACTTGCAGTACTGCTCTGCTCCCACAAATTGTCCCCCTTCCACCCAGGGTTCAGGAAACCCCAACTCAAGGCTCAGCTTCCCCTGGGACTCTGCTCCCTGCACTTCCCAAGCCTCTCAAAAGGAGTGGAGAAGCTCCACGGGCTGTGAGCACCCGCAGCAGAATGGGGATAAGTGAGTTTCAAGACTCCCAGTCTCTCCAGTATTTCTAGGAAATAAAAAGAAGAAACAAGAGTTGCAACATCTACAAATCCCTTGCTTTACAGCCTGTGCTTGGGGCAGCACGACATGTGCTTTGGCAAGACACTCTGTGCAAGCGAGGTCAAGCTAACAGGCTTAACTGCAAAACCACTGAGCTCAGGAAAAACTAATAAATAAATAAAGATGGAAAAACCCCAGACAGATCTGCATGAGACCGAAGGATTCTCCAGTTTGCTCTTCCCAGCCTTTAGCACTGCTGCAGCACACAGAGGGAGCAGCCCCCACGCTGCCACCCAGCATGGCAAGGGCCAGGGCATCGCCCTGAATACAGAGAAGAGGTGAAAAGGAATTGTGGCAACACCTCCAGAAAGAAAGCACAAGGAATCCTCTCAGTGTTTAACCTTGTTTGAGGGTCAGCCTGGTATTTAACCCTTCACAGGATGCAGGAGCCAGAGGGAGCTGAGCTCAGCCTCTGGGCTACTATCACAGGAAGATTTCCGAGCAGCTGAGCCAGAGCAGGGCTGACCTCCCTCATAACCAGCCTGCCCTCTGCTCTGCACCATCAGGAGACTCTTTTCCACTCCCCAACACAATAACAAGGCATCCCAGGCCGGACACAAAAGAGCAGAGAAGGTGAAGGGCTCACATTCGCTTTCTTTGGAGCGCTCACAAGGATCCGCAGGCTCTTCAGGGAAGGGCTCAGCTCCAACTGTTCCATCGCTTTGTCCAAATCTTCCTGGGATTTCAGTGGGATCAGGAGCTGAAAGGGATTAAACAAACACCAGAGGATGGCAATGTCACACTTTTGGGTAAACAGGAGCCAGATTGTTACAGGGAGCAGCTTGGGAACCGGGGGATGAGGGAGGAACCCAAGGAATCAATGGAAAACGGGGCCCCCGTGCCCTCCAGCTCTAATATTTTCTTCCAAGACCTCATTTACCGAGGAACAGACGCAAAAAAAGTCACAACAAACAACATCTGCAAGGAGAAAGCTTAAAGGTCACACCAGCAATCCAGCTAGTGGGAAAAGGAGAGGGCTGGGATGAAACCTTGGGCTTGCTGCCCGCTACTCTGGGGCTGCTCTGATTCTGCAGGCAGGACCTGCTGCTACCCAAAATAACCCCACACGCTCTTGCTGGGTTGATGGTCATGCAGTGGTGCTCCAAGACACCAGTGAGTTGCACCCAAGGATTTACCCTGGCAGATGCTTTGTGCCCTTCCCTACTGCTGCAGCCTGTGTTCCTGCATACTCTCACAGCTCCCTAGTGCCTGGCCATCAGGTGAAACCTGGGAACATCCCACAAATAAATGTATTTTCCCTTTTGATGTGAAAAGTGTGCATTGCTCTCCTTCCAAGAACCACTTCTTTCACTCGCAGCAGAACAAATTCAGCTTCTGCTCTTTATAAGAACAGAGAACTACACAGTGCCGTGTCTGTCAGGCAGCAAAAAATCCTGATGCTTTCCTGGGAAATGGCAGACCATTGCCCTCACACCTCCACGGGGAATTTGACCCTCCCAACCTTGCTGTGTGGTGTACCATGTCCTGCAGACAGCCTGCAAAGCCTCCAACACCAGACACAGCTGCACTTCAGAGGAGCTTTATGGCCTTCTGCCGCCCTGGGCTAAGATTAAAAGCACAACTTCTTGCCCCTCATTCCGGGATATTCTGCCTAATCTCATACCAAACAGGCCCCAGCCTCTGCAGGTTGCCTCGGGCACTGAATCTGGCCAACAGCACATGTTATTCTCATGCCTGTGCCAAAGTACACTGTAACTCCACTGACCAAAGGCACGGAGCAGCCACAGCTCCCAGCAGGCTCCCACTGCTCTCCCTGGGAGCCACAGCTTCCCAGAACTCCTGAAAGGCGGCTCAGCCCTCTGGGGGATCAGAGCTCCTGACACCAGCCACAGCAAACCCACCTCAGAGCAGCTGCCACACACGGTGACACTCACACGCCAACTGGGACAACCTTTTTGATCCCAGAATGTTGCCAAGGGTTTGGCTGTTGGCCTGTAGGCAAATACACCTCAGACTGTGTGCTCCTCCTTGGTCTTGTGGCCAAGGAGGCCAGTGACATCCTGGGCTGCACTGGGAGCACTTGCAGCAGGTCAGGGAAGGGATGCTGCCCCTCTGCCCAGCCCTGTGAGCCACATCTGGAGTGCTGTGCCCTCAAGAGAGACACAGGGAGCTCCTGCAGCACGGCCAGAGGAGGCTACAGGGAAGATGCTCCATCGTGAGGGAAGGATGAAGGAGCTGGAGCTGCTCAGGCTCAAGAGGAGATGCTGAGAGGGGATCTCAGCCCTGTCTGTGCCTGTCTGCAGGGAGGGCTCAGAGCAGGGACCAGGCCCTGCTCTGTGGGGTCCAGCAATGGCACAGGAGGAATGGGCAGGAATGATCCCAGGAAGTTCCCCCTGGACATGAGGCAGAACTTCTCTGTGCAGTGCTGAGCTCTCAGGATTGTCCAGAGAGGCTGTGGAGTCTCCCTTACTGGGGATATTCCAGAACCATCTGGACACAATCCTGTGCCCTGTGCTTCTCTCTCTTCTTGACTACTTGGACCAGATTACTCTCTGTGGTGCCTTCCAACCTGACTCATTCTGTGATCCTGTGATTTCCTCTCATCCTTCATTCCTATTTGAGTGAACAACCTGCATTCCCCATAGACATCAGACAAAGATGGTACTGAGCATGTCTCCTAAATGCAGTGCTCAGCCTGCTCCCTTAAGCAGTAGAGGTGGAGATATTCCTCTGGGACACTGCTTAACCCTTTTGAGGTTCACAAAGGCTCTGCCTCAAGCAGACAAAGCTCCTCCTCTACACGCTCTCAGAGAGAACTGAGAATGGTGGAGAGCTGCTCTCCCTAGTTTCACCACCAAGCAGAATTTGAGCCTGAACTCTAAGCTCAGCCCCACTGCTCACCCATCCCTTCACTGAGCTCCTGACAAGTGTTCAGAGCAATCCCCCAGCTGCTGCTCTGAACAGAATGTTCTGTAGGTCATTCCATCTCTCTCCAACATCACAACATGAACATGTTTGCATGCCTCCTTCAGAGGAGCCAAAAACATCAGGGAGAAATTGCCCTCTTGTAAAAGGGACTGGAGCCAGTATTTAGCTTGGCTTTACCTATTACCCACATCTGGCAAGAAAATGCTGCTCCATTTGGCTGCCAGACTGTGGCACATATGATTATCAGGAACAGGTATCTGCTAGGCATGAAACTCTGTAAAACAGACTCATGCAGAACCATGGAATTAATTGCCAGGGTGGATTTCCCGAAACTGAGTTTATTTGATCTAAAGACTGAATAGCTGTGATTAACAGCAAAGTTTACCTACACAGAAGTTGCACAAACAGAGCTTATTAGATTTTTTTTTTCTTGCTTTTAAATAGTTTCCTCCCCTGGAGCCTGATGTTTTAGTGGGGGACTTGATGGTCTCTCTGCTGCAGGTTGAAAAAGTGAGGGCAAAGGGTGAGGTTTCACCAACTACAGCAGCTCTGTCAGACCTCACTCTGTAAGACACTGCAGAAAGCCAAAGAATTGTAGGAAACAGGGTTGGGGAAAAATCGGAGAGGTCAATTAGTTCATCTTCCTGCCCAATGCAGGACCAACTGGCATCAACAATTCTCGACAAATGTTTGTTAAATTTGCTTTTATCTCCTCCCTCCCCCTCCATAATGGTGCCTCTGCCATTTCCCCAGGCTTTAACTCTCCCTCAGCTCCCAGAATGATGCTGAGGGGCAGACTTGGAGGAGACAGCAGGAGGTCAGAAGGGAAGCGGTGGCACATGGAGGTTCAGTGAACCTCTGCCCAAGGTCACATCACAAGCTGGTGTCTGTGCTGCCCTGGCCAGGCTGAGCTGTGCTGTCCCACTCCCCAGAAAGATGAGCCCAGCCTAGAACTAACACAGACATGCCCCACGGGGGACACCCATGGCCAGGCCCTGCTCTTATCTACACCAGCCCCAGGCTGCTGATTCCGTGGTCCCACCAGGATGTGATTCATGTGTGCCCCTGCTCCACCCAGCTGGCATGCTCATCTCACTGATCCTGCCTTCAGGATGCCTCCTCCACCAGGACAGGGGGTGCCACTCAGTGAAATTTTGCAGGGGCCTGCTGACCTCAGTCTATATTTGGTCTACAAGGTGCCACTGCAAGAGAGGTGTCTGATGGCAGCAAAGAATTACTGCACAGCTCCCCTGGAGCATAAAGACAGGGTGAAATAGTTAACTGCAATGAGTCTGTGGCCATGTTCCCTCTGAAACTTGCAGTCATGACACCCAAAAGCCTGACCCAGGAGCCAGATGCTGCAGTGTCACCACATGTGTGTGCAGGCTATGACCCCAAAGATCCCTCTTGTCTGTTTATAGCGTTTCCAGAACAACAACCCTGAGTTACTGCTCCTCAGACATCTTCCCAAAGCTGTGGGTTCTCATAAAATGGAACTTTTAAGTGTAGGAAAAACAAAGCACTGCCCTAAGAAATCAGGAGTACCCAAAGGCCTGCTCATGGCCCTGCTATGTGCTGTGCACATGCCCAGAAAGACAGTCTCTAACATGGGATAAAATGCATTATTTAAGCTTCTGTTTGCTGTTGTTGGAAAGAAATCCTCTTCCAGTGGGAAGAAACCTGGAATGAAATGAGTCATTCCTGGAGAATTCAATGGCAGGCTTTTCCCAAGAGGGCTGTCACAGAATGCCCAAGATTAGAAACCTGACTGCATTCAAAGACAAAACCCAGTGGACACTTTGGTATCATGAGGTACCTATTGTAAAAGAATAGGAACTTTCTTTGTGGAGCAAATCTCTGTTGAAACAGAAGGGAGAAAATAATAAATGGGGGAAAAATAGAAGAAAGGTCTCTTCAGAACCTCTCTCTCCATTCATACTTTAATCAAAGGCTGCAGGTCATCTGCAATTAATACTTGAACAAGCCACCTATCAGGGCAAATCCAAAAGGATCTGTGTTTCAAAGCCCACCTCTTTGCCATTTGGCCCTCTCCTCCTTCCCAAAGCCAAACCCACCCTGACAGTCCAGAGGCTGCAGATGCCTCACAAGAAAACACCAAAAGAGATGCCAAAGATTTTCCCCTTCTGCTAACAGCCCTCAGCAGGACCCTCCTTTCACACACAGTGCTGGGCTCAAAAGTGGGAAAACCACAGAGGCCAATGTGATGAATGATGGAGGAGAAAGACCTCCTAGCCTTAAAATGCAAGGATTGCAGAGGGAGGGTTATTTGGCTGCTTTTATGTGGCCACAGGGGCTGCTGGAGGAACGTTCAGTGATGCACATTTCACTGCAGACCCAGCCACAAGAACGTGCAGGTCGTGCTGGGGGTTTGGGTGAGACAAAGTCAGTGCTAGATAAAAGAACACTGTGTGAGCAGCACCGTCCCTCCTGCTCTGCACTTCACGCTCCTGCAACTGCCCCCGAGGTGGGAAGACTTCACATCCCGATGGAGTGAGAGGGATCTTTTGTTCTGGGGAAAAGACAACGCTCCTGTGTAACAGGCTTTCCTTGAAATAATTTTGACAAAGGAAAATCCTGGCTTGGAGGCTGAGAATCCATCTGAGCTGTGTCAGGACAACAGCTCTTGTGCATTCACTAGCTGGGAACCATAAAACAAGGTTATTTTTCTTCACATCCAAGTAAAACACAAAATCAGGGCCTTCAGAACAAGCCACTGCTCAATTCTGAAGCTGGCAGCAGGCAGCCCAAAGCTGCCCCTCAGCAGTGAGAGAAGAGTACCTCATTGTTCACACAGACCAAGTCCATCGTCTGCCCAAAAGCATCCGTGACCTTCTGCACCACTTCCTTGAATTTGACTGGTCTTGGAAACTGGATAATCCTGTGTACACAAACAAATACAACAACAGTCTCAGTTTAGCAGGAGCATACTGGAATTTGGGATTTGACTTACAGTACAGAAAAAAGGACTTCTATTTCATCACAAAGCTCCCTGCCTTTACACTCACAGAAATGCTGCTCCTCTGCTGTGCCCAAGAGGGGACTTGACTACCCTGCAAAAATATCTACCAAAAATCTTTGTGCACCTCCTCTGCTCCTCCTTCCAATATGAGTACAGGTGGAAAAAAAGGAAGTCCAGCAGCTCTCCACTGGAGAAAGCCCAGATCAGGCAATGGTCAGCGGTGTATAATCACAGTTTTCAGCAAGAGGCTCTGAACAGGGAAGAGGGCTGGAAGTGGGAACGATGCAGTTTGGCATCCTGTGACTCTCCTGTAGCATCACACACAGCACCTCTAGAGGTACTTACAGCAGGTACAGTGTAACCCTAAAATAACACTACTTAAATTTTCTTTGGCTTTAACATGCACCTTGGACCATCAGCCTGTGTCCTGCCCTGTCACAGTCACCAAGCAGAGGTGATTCCATGAAAATGTCAAGCAGGGAAGGGCGGACAAGCTTTAACTCCCAGCCCTATTTTTGTGGGACCCATGCCCAAAATCTGGTTATCTTAAGTAAGTGTCATGGACTGCTAATCAAAGGACACATTTCTGTAGAGTTCCAGCTTCACTGTGGTTCAGCAAGGCTCAAGAATTAACAAGAGAAAAGGATCCCAGTGTGCACCCAATGTCCCTGGTAAAAGAGGCATTTAATGACTTCCAGCTTGGAACCATTTTGCCTGCAAATCCCAGGAGCTTCCTGTGGCAAATGGGATAATGAGGCAGGGCTCTTGCCTATAAAAGTGCAGCTGATTTTAGGGGAATGAATCCTGCTGTGAGCTCAGCTGCAGCTGGCTGAAGTCAGCAGGACAGTGTTGGGTGGAAAAGGTAATTTGTTCCTGTATTCACAGGGGACTGGGGTAGGTACCTACCTTTTCTCTCCTTCATACTCAAACTTGATCCTGACACTTCGCTGCTGAAAGAAAAAGCAGAGAATGGTGAGGTCCCAAACTGCATCCTGGATTGACCCATAGACCCAAAGCTGACGGGAGTTCTCAGGGAGACTCTCCTAACTCTGTAAGGCATCTGGTTTATTTAAGCCAAGCTGCCTGGTGCACTTGCAGCCTTTGGGGACACGCCACATTGCTGAGGAATGTGCTTGTCAAAAAATAAGTTCTTTTGTAAGCAAGAAAACGCTCACCTATATGACTGTTAGTTTTAACGAAATTAATTCATAAAGCTGAAAATTGTTCTGAACTCTTGGGAGCAAGTCACTATTATCAAAGAGGCCAATATGGCAAGTGTCTGATGCCTGTCAACCTTCAGTGCTTCCCATGATTTCACCCCAGTACATTTCTGTTGGTAACCCAAAAACCAGAGCTCAGAGGATGTTGACTAGAACACAGGGATATTTGGGGTGAAGAATTAAAAGCAAGCATTCTCTAATGGAAGTGGAGACAGTCTAAAATTTTAAAGCCAACAGTGCTAGGCTGGTTGAAGGGCTGGTTGCTATTTTGTTAGGACCTACAAAATGCCAAGTGTATCAGGCCCAATACACAATGCACAGCAAATGTCCACCCTGACCTGACCCATTGCTCACCTCAAGAGAAACCACAAAATTTGCCCAAAGAAGAGCCAGTGGAATCTCAGGCACACAGCTGTGCAAGGACCAGTAAAAACCACTTCTCCCATCAGACGATGGGAGATATTTGTGCATATTTAGCAGCAATCAAGACCACAAGGAGCTTTTTCATTCCTTCAGCTTCTCAGGCCAAGTCTGAGCCAAGCATCCTTCTGGCATCCCTCAGATCATTCCAGGACTTTCCGACGGTCTCCAACGCAGATCAAAACCCTCTTTAGTCCTCAGACCAGGTCTAGTCACCCCACTTAACCAGCCTTTTCCTCCCCACAGTCCCACCAGCCTCCTCAAACAGCTCTCTTCCCATGCAGAGAGAAGTGCTGGCCGCCTCCCTCCGAGGTGTAACCCCGGGGAGGGCTCGGTCCCGCGCCGCCGGCGTCACGCAGGGATAACTCCCAGCTGGGTGGGTGACAGCCCTTCCTGAGCACAGGACTTATCTCTGGGCCTGGCCTGCCAGCATGTGAAGGCACACTTTCCATCCTCTCAGAGGGAAAGCAGAGCTGCAATGAAACAGCTTTGTTCCTAACGAGAAAAACGAGCTGGACCAGCGCCCTCGGGTTTGTTTTTCAACCGAGCTCCCCGAGTTCTGCAAACACCCACCAAAATTCAGGAAGTCGAGGCTGGAGGCGGTTCTGTTGAAAAGCTTAAAAAGATTCAGGGTAAACACAGTGCATCACCCAAAATGCATCCTTGTTATCTCTGCCCGTGGCATTTTCTGTGTTTCCGGAAGGGCTGGGAAGAACCAGTGCAGGGACAGTCACCAAGTGGGGCACTCCAGCAGTGATACAGGCCTGTGCTAAACAGGCACTTACATCACCTCGGCGGCTAAAGCCAGTTCTCCAGACCCACAAAGTCTGGAGAGTCTCCAGGTTCATTTCCAGAACCAGGCCCAACTTGTAAAAATACCAGATTAATTTTAAACCAGTCCAAAATTCCAAAGGAGAAGAGACGACCATAGCCGACCTAGTGCTGGAGGTTCAAATCATTCTGGAGAGACAGGCAAATACAGGTGGAATTGCCACCTTGGGCTATCTGTGCTGGAAAAGAAATTATACAGGCTCTTTCATGCCAATTTTTATTTGCACATGCCTCTCTAAGCAGGCCCGACTGCTTTATTCCTTCTGGATGCTGGCAATAAATTGGCTAGTGCGGGTTCACTGATTGTAACACCACAAAACCTTTCTCTAAAGAAAGAGAGGGGAAAAAAAATCAGGGCAAGGAACTTTCGAGGTTTCTCCTTACAAAAGAGCAGGACGTGGAAGGGGAAGAGCTCACACAGCTCTGGCCTCCCTGCAGGAAACCTTTCAAAACACAGGTTTCACTTTCAGCACAGCCCCGAATGTTGCACTGAGCTGGGACGTAGCACACGCTGCCTGGCTGTGCTGAGGAGAATAGATTTCACAGACAAACAAGTTTTGAAAAACAGCTTGTGGCTGGAAAATGTCAGAACACTTGTCTAAAGCTCTAGAGAGAGAAGAAAACGAAAAAAAATGGGCCACGACCCTGCTGCATCCTTTTCTTCTACATCAACAACAAGGCTGATGTGCCGTGGCCCGATGCCAGCAGAAGGACGCCAGCTGCCCCACACTGCTCCGCTTCTGAGAAGAGCTACGAACACATTGGCTGCAACAGGAAAATGAAAACCCACTTCATTTCTTAATTAGATAACATTTTTCTTTAATACAAAACACACCAAGACCAAGACCTTTAGCTCGCAAGCATTTGGAGGGATAAATTCATATTTATCAGTCTGAGAAGTTGATTACAGTTTAATTTTTCAGGCTTCCCTTGGCTTGCTCATGTTTCTGACCCACAGCTCCAGCTGAATTCATCACTGCTATCAGCAACAAATACTTTTTTCCTTTTTTTTAAAGAAAAAAAAAAAAGAGTGGGCAGTGCCCAAAGTACTAGGAAATCTCAGGGGATGCAAAGCACTTCCTAAATGCTGGAGCAGGCTGTGATTTTTTACACCCATGGAAGTCTGGTTTGCAGCAACTGGTTTAAGATTACACAGGGAGCCTGGGGCACTGCCAAGTGCCTGAGCAGAACCTCGTGTGAGTCTGCACCCAGCATCTCAAATGAACAATCAGGGGGAATGCAGGGCCAGCACCTTCCCCATCAGGAACCCAACACAGTGTCCAAATATTGAGGTGGAAGAGGTGTGGGTGGTGAAGGCTGCTGGATCCTACTCACTTTTGCAATTTTGTGAGGAATGCGACTCCCCTTGCACAACCCAGGTTGTACTAGTCACTGTCCCTGCCATCAGGTGTTGCGTGAGGTCAAGGGCAGCCCTGTTCTCCTTCAATGAAGAGGTCCTTAGTGGGTGTAGGAGAACACGGTGAGACATCCAAAGCCTTGTGCCAAATACAGTGCAGGAGAGGGGTAAGGACAGCCACAGGCACCAGCCTTAAACCCTGAGCTCTGGCAGAGCATTTAAACAATATTTTCATCAGCACTGTGAGAGCTCAGGCAGGGAATGGAGCAAGCAGGGGAAACTGAGGCACGAAGGCAGGAAGGGTTTTGGCTAAGGGTATGAAGAGAAAGCCCAGCCTGGGGAGGAGGAGGCTCCATGGAGACCTTCTTGCAATATTGCAATATATAAAAGGGGTTTTGTAAGATGGAGAGAGACTTTTTACCAGGATGAGGTCAACAGTTTTCAACAGCAAGAGGCTACACTGAGGCTGGATATAAGGAGGACATTTTCTACCACTGGGCTGCTGAGACACTGGAACAGGTTGCTCAGAAAAGCTGTGGATGCTCCATCCCTGGACATGCTCAAGGCCAGGCTGGATTGAGCAACCTGGTCTAGTGACATGTCCCTTGCCCACAGCAGACAGTCTGGCCTTTAAAACCCTTCCAGCTCAAGCCATCGTGTGATTCATTCTCTGAAGCAGCAGAAGGGTGGTGGAGAGAACACAGAATGAAGGTGTTTGGTCTCCTGGGCTGTGTGCACTGAGCAGTTTTCCCTCTCCGTGTGCGTTTCCGTGCGGGGCACGGAGGAGCCCTCGGCCCGGCTGGCGCCTGCAGACCCTGCTGCGACACAAACAAACCCAGCGACAGCCCTGACAGGAAATACCACAGTCATTCCCTTCGTTTCTACAATAATTTCTTCTCCAAAATACTTGTACCGGCATTTCCTCCAGCCCCACAAACAAATGGTATTTTACGCGTTCTTGCCATATTCCTCCGAAAGGAAAAAGCAAAGCTGCTGCTGTGGACACAAACCCATCACCATCTTTCCAGGCTTTCCTTGAGGTATTTTTGGCTCTTTCCTAAAAACTTTGGATTTCACAGAGAAAAGACCACAACTGCCAAGCTTCAGAGAGGGAATTCAGATGGGAATTTGGGGAGAAAAGGGGCAACTGCTGTTGCCTTTTGGCTAGGGTCCATGTACCCCGGCAGGCTTGGCCAAGCTTGGCCCTCAGAACTGGAGCAACAGCCCTGTGTGCTGGTTTAGATTAAGGAAAACGTTGGAAAAAAACAGAAAAAGTGTTTCCAAATGAGGTGAATCATGATCTTATACAGAGATCCCTGAAGAGCTGACTGCTGTTTGTAATAAAAGCACACACGGAGAGCAGGAAAACAAGCAGTTAGTCCTAAAATGGAAGCGGCTCTGGAGGAGCAGAAGATGCTGAGCACCCTCGCTGCTGAACAGCCAGGGGGTTGCTTAAATTGGGGTACAGATCCAAGCTGAGCCTGTGGAGAAGGCTGTCTAATGGCAGAGGCAGTCAGGGGAGCCAGCCCTGCACCTCCATGCCTGTCAGCGTTGCTGAAACAACTAAAACTGCCACTCTGGAAAATCCCAGACTAGCACAAATTCAAAGATTCCCCCTGTCATGTCCACTCCTTCTCCTAAACTCTGCTGCCATCAGAAACTGTGCTCTGTCCAGACCCCATTTCTGTGGCTTGCTTTAGATCTGCTCCTGTCAAATCTAAGCAGAGGACAGCTTTGCCCATGATGAGATATCACAAGGATGGGGCCTTTAGAGCACTTCTTCCACCCAAATCCACAGCTGCCTCCCAAACCAACTGGGACAAAGCCTCTGACTTCTGCATTAACCCTTCTGTGTCAAAAAAGGCAGGAAAAGCCATCACAAGGGGCCTCCTATTCCCTTTGGTGCTGCTCGTTCCAGCCTTGCTCATATCAACCCACAAGATTTTAGGCACTTATTTTGCCTCAGTTTCCCCCCTGGGTAACACATGGGCAATGAAATTCACCCACTTTTGCACACCACAGGGTAATCAGAGGGATTGTTTTCACTTCTCTCATTTTCTACTCGCTGGATTAGGAAATGACGAGAAAACCTCGCGGAGCCGCGCTCGAGTCACTCCCTTCGTCCAAAGCCGCAAAGCGGTGGGATTCCTCCTCAACTCCTGGCTCTGGCTAAGAGGAATCAGCACCACAGGGCCAGGCTGAGGGGACTCCAACACTTCCCCACGGTGCAGGTGGTTTGCATCAGCCCTGTGCTCGCCCCTGCCCTCAGCAGCGGGACGTTCCCCACACGCCAGACAGCTGGAGCGCGGCCCCAGACCGCAGAGGAGATGACTAATGCACGTCACTGGGAATTATCTGCACAGAACCCCCACGCACGCCGGGTTATTCAGCAATCAGACAGAAAGGAGTTTGTCTGGCATTGCCCCTTGGTCATTGCAGGGGCAGAAAGCACAATATATCCCAATCCCCCCGGATCCTTGCAGCTTTTTACCTCTGAAAGCACCTGAGCAGCTCAGAGGACAGTGGAAAGATGATGTGCAGAAGGTTCACTGCTTCCTGTTACAGACGTTTCTGTTTCAGACAGCAGTAGAAATCACAGGCTTCAAAGTGTTTATCTAAAACCACCCACCTGGCAGGGAATACCTTTCCTCCAGCTGGATTTCTCACTGGTATCACCTTCCTTGCACCCAAGTCAGCTCCACACACAGACATGGGGAAGCCTCTTAAATCCCTGGGACTCCACTGCCTCTGCCATCTCCAGCCAAGGCTTTCCCAGTCAGTCATTTGCCCCCTTGTTTCTGCTCCCCAGGTGGGGAAATCCCTGCAGATCCCCTCATGGAGACTCCCATCTTCCCCCATCCACACCATATCCTCCAGGTGATAAAGCCAAACTCCTTTTCAGGCTGCTCAAAGACCTACAGAGAGCCCTACAAAATGAGCTGTATTTCACTGGAGTTGCAAGCAAGCCTTGCCTTGCATTCAGCTTGCCAAAGAGAAGAGTCCAGAGATAATTTACTAAAAGAACAACTTTTAGGACAGTCTGACATTTGATGCACATGGAGAAACATTTCCTACAAACATTTAATTGCCGTGGGAGAATTTGCCATCGTGATTAAGGTGGCAGAGGAACTGCTGGCTGTCACTGGCTGTGACAGAGGCCCACTGACAAGCAGCTTCATACTGCCAGTTGCCAAGTGCTATTTATAGAAATGAATGGATGTGCACATAAATAGATACAAAATAAATGCTAATTTAATTGCTCTTTTCTCCCTTCATCCTTTTGTTCAGGATTTCCTAATTATTCGGGGTTTCCCTTCTTATTCCACTCATCTTTTTCCTTAATGAACACAACGCAGATCTTCATTCTCCTTCTCCTTCTTCCCCTCTTCAGAGACACTTCTATGAACAAACTCCCTTGTTCAATCCAAGGGATAGCCTGAAAGGGCTCCTTTCAGCCATGCCAGAGGATGCACAAGGAAAAAACAAAGTGATTAAAGGAGTAACAGAGGAATACCAGTGCAGAAGCTGCACTAGGAATAATGTCAGAACGATCCCTCTGCTCCCAAAGAACAGCTCTGCTGTACCTCACATGAGGAAGGAAAAGGGTGTCCATGTCTGTCCCTATAATTCCCACAAGGCAGAGAGCCAGGACAGTGTAGTGGCTGCCACACCTGACCAGGACTCAGGAGATTCCAGCTCAGCCACCACATCTGCTGCCAGCTGCCTGGGCAATTCAAGGGAGGAAAATTCCTGTTCTAACTTCCAGCCTGTTCTGCCACCAGGCATTGCACATCCAGAAACTCAGTCTTCGCCCTAAACTCATTTGTGAGGGAGGAAAACTAAGAAAAGAAAGATTTTTATGAAATTTGCCGAAGGATGTTCATTTCTAAAGATGAACTGAAGCAAAATTACCAATATTTTGGGAAAGAAATATTTTGGAGCACACACAACCACAGGCTGTTTTCTTGTGTGGCCCAGGCCTACAAGGAACACAATCTGGCAGGATTCAATTTTCAGCTTGTGTCAGGAGAGCACTGAGGAAGCCCTCCAGGAGACAGGAATGAGATAGCACTTCAGTCGTGCTTCTCTGTGTACCAAAAAACTGCTGCAAGCCACAGAGAACTGGCTAGTTAGCCAACACATTCTTGCTGTGAACTCTGTCTTTCAGTGGAAATTTGGAACACTGACTGAAGGATTCCCATGCCTCAGAAAAAACATTTTTCCACAGAAAAAGAAATATTATTTTATTAATCTATTAACTGAACTCCCAAACCTAAGTAGTTCAATGTGAGCATACTGCTGCAAGGCCTCATGAGAGGCACCAGCAATTAGATGACCAAGAGGACATTTTATCACCAAAATGTGCCACATTCTCCCCCCAAGAAAGGAACTGTGCAGGGCATCCTTCAGCCCAACAGGCCAACCTAATCACAGGGAAAAGTAAACAATAAAAAGGGAAAAGCAAATACCAAAGGAACAACAAAATCACAGGTATGAAAACAGCACTTCCAAAGCAATCTCTTCTCCACATCAATTTCTGTCCTACAAAACAACAACAAAACAACCCTAAAAGTGACCCAAACAAGCTGATTAAACTGAGCTACAAACATGAACCATGAGCCAGACGTGTCCCAGCTAGTCCAATTTAGTGAGGCAACAATTCAACATCCTCCAACGCCCTTCATCTCCTGGAACCTGCTGGTCTGACCCCTCAGCTCCACACGTGTGAGGAGAGCAGGATCCTCACCATCCACATCCTCCATCAGGGAGCTCTGAGCAACCCTGAGCACACAGCTACGTACACTCTGCTTGTGGATAGAAAGAAAAATCCTAAAGGAGGAAGTGTTTTTCCAAGCATCGGTGCTTTTAATAAGGAAAGTTTGATTACTATATAATAAAATATAACCAAATTCCTGTAATAAAATTAACACAACTGGAAGCCAACTGTTCTAAAGCTGGTATCAGAGCATGACATACCTCCATGGGTGATTTATAAATGAAGATGCCACGTGGATGGGCTGTGGGTGTGGATTTGATTGCTAGATGCCATCTTTACACAGAGAAGAATTCAATCAATGAAAACTATAATTTTCCTTATTTTTGACTAATTTTCTGGTTAACTGTGTATGTGCTACATTAACAGCCCAGGTCTCAAAAACAACAGCAGGGATTTTCCCCCATTGCACAAAACAAGTGTTGTAAGAGGAGCCTGAAAACTTTGCTACCCTGAAAGCAACTCGAGCTGGTTCCACATGGTCCCCACCCATCACTGTGCACAAGATGCTGCCCCTGCAGCCATCCAAAGCTGCTCTGGGTTTTCTGCTTCTCCTGCAGCTGCAGGGAGCCAGCCCTGAGTTTCTCTGGTCAGTTCTGTAAACATCTTGGACTTCTTTCAGCATGAGCTGAACACAAACCCAGTGATTCAACTTGGCCAGCTGCTACCGCCAGGACACGCTTTGAAACCAGACGTGCGCACGTGTTTTCGTCTGCATGTGGCTGGGGAGTCCAGAGGGATTCGGGAAGGGATTTTTCCTCTCTGCACCCAGACTTCTTTGTTTGTAGCACAAGTGACATTAAGAAATGCATGACGACAGTAAATGACAATTTGTTTTCCTCCTTGCTAGGCATCCACAGTTGCAGGGTTGACTGCAAGCTCATTCTAAACCATAGTACTAGACGTGGAATTCCACATGGATTTGCTGCCATGCTCCTTCAGCAGCTCCCCAGTTGTCTTTATCTTTTCCTCCCTTTTTTCCTTGCTATTTTGACAACTGAATTCTTTCTTCACAACTTTCATGTTTGCTTATTATTTGCTCCATACACAAACATGCTATTAAATCCACTATCCAGCTATTGTATCAATGTCAGCAAATAATTTCTAACATTGCTCAAGGGACAATGTTTTTTGCTCACCAAAACAACTCTGAACATGCAACAGGGCCAAAACGTTTGGGTTTAGGAGCATAAAGATAAACAGCAGTAATTCATAATTAAACACTTTATATAAGAATGACATTATTCCTCCCCAAAGAGCCTGGGTGTCTACAGCTCAGAATTGGAAGTCTGTCTTTCAAATATCTGAAGCAAAATGTTCACGTAATAAATATTGTATTTCATTAACGCTGTCAATAGAAAACAATTGACTTATCCAAGTCCTAAAGCTGCACAGCCTGAAACAAGTTCTGCTACTTTCAGAGCTAAACAACAGCTAAAAGTGCCTTGAGGTGAGACTTGAGAATCAAACCCAGTTTCAGGCCCTATTGTTTGAGAATAATTGGAGCATTACCCTTCTCTACCCCCGTGTGATATAGGGATGCCTGTAACTTCCTTTTAGCTCTTCAAAAAGAGGTCATAAACCTCGTAGCTTGGTAAAATTATGATATTTCTGATGTGCTGAGCACTTGTTAACGTCAGTTCTACCATTTAAACTCTGCTCTGCCAGCATGGCAAGCACCACGCCCACCTCTGTGGTCTGCTGGAGTTTGGGGTGGCCTGAAGGAGCAATGCCATACCTGTTTGTTGGAGTGGACACTGTTTTTATTCCTGTTGTTGTCCAGCAGCCCCCCACACTTGCCCAACGCTGCCAAATCCTTCATAATAGAGTTCAGAGCTTCTTCTTCATCTGCAAGAAAAGAAGAGACGACTGAAGTGTGGAAAGTAACTCTGCCCTCGGATGCACAGAGTGAAAATACAGCACTGCAAATATAAACTTTCACCACAAATGGATCAAAAGACACAATGTCAAGCCTTCCTATTAAGAGAGGCATTCCAAGACTACACCACACTCTCTCCCAGCTCAGTCTGTCTTGGAAACACAGGTTCCTTCATCACAGGTGAGACAGATAATGAGATTTCATTGTCCCCACCCGAAAGAGCCTGCAAGAAAGCTGGATTCCCAATAAGGACATGCAGTGACAGGACACAGGAAAATGCCATTAAAATGCAAAAGGACAGGTTTAGATTAGATATTAGAAAGAAGTTTTCTTCTGTGAGGGTGCCCAGAGAGGTTGTGACTGCCCCATCCCTGGATACGTACAGGGCAGGTTGGATTGGAGCAACCTGGGCTAGTGAAAGGTCTCCTTGTCTTTCCTCCCTCTCCACTAAAGGTGCTCAAGAGCCACAAGTGACCTTCAAAACCAGAAGCAGTGAGAAACCAGGGGAGAGGGCAAGGAATGCACAAGAAAAGAGACAAACTCAGCAGTGCTGGATAGAAGACACTGAGAGCCCTCACAGGATTTCTGATTTCTGCAGTAACAGGAGAACTTTGAGGGACCATTGGATCTGAAACCAATCTACTCTTCAACACTTCAGCATCTGTGGTTATAGGCTCTTAAAGCAGCTATGAAGTGTTAAAGTACCAACCACAAGAAGCAAGAACCCTGTCAAGGCCTAGGGCAGGGCACACTGTTAGGAGGGTGTGAGAAGCCACTGCACACTCCATGCTTGTGACACAGTCAGGGCAAATGTTAGGCACATGCAGCTATTACTGCAAAAAATACAAATACAGCTACAAATCTTGTCTAAAAATGAGTGTCTCCAGGGACAGAACCACCCCTACGCCAGGCCAGCCTGCAGATTAAACTCAAAGTCCACAAATATGTGAAAAATGACAAAAAACATATGAAATCAGACAGGACTGGACCCAAATACCAAGGATCTTTCCCCAGGGAGGTGTATGTCCTGGATCCTTGTGCTCAGATATAACACCATCTCCTCTTGTTCTGCTCCTCCTGCTGGGTTCTGTGAGCAATGAAACTATGAAAAAACCCAGATATATGAGAAAAAGACTTCTTGGGCATGCTCTGCTCCCAGAGTATACTAAAGAAATTAGGGGAAAAACTGAGGGAAAATGTTTAAAATCCAGTCTCACATTTCAGAGCTCAGAAATGAGCTCCAATGCCTACATCAAACTCTTAGGAAAAAGCCTACATTTTCCTGTAGGCAATGTGTGTATACATATTTAATATATAAACATATATCTTTACATCAATATGAAATATATAACTGATAAAATAATAAAATTCATACATAAATACATTAAAGTGGAATCCCTTTTGCCTCCCACATTTCTGTATTTACTAAAAGCACAGGTATATTTTTCCAGAGGGGTGGCAGGGGAGCACAACCTGAAGTGCTACAGGAAAAAACTCAAGAAAAAGATAATTTTCAGTTTAAATTCAGGAAAAAAAAACAAAACAAAAAACAAAACAAACCTAACAACAAAAAAGAAACACATCAAGAATGTCCCCAAAGTCTGGGTTTGAGGTGTTTTTCTTTTGTTGTTGTTGGTTTGGTTTGTTTTATTTTTTTTTTAAAGGACCTCTGGGACAAGCATAGTTTTCCACACAGATTTTGTAGTAGGAAAATATCCAACACACACAAAAAAAAAAAAAAAAAAAAAAAAAGGAAAAAATGGCTTTTTTTTATTTTTGTGGCGGGGGAAGGGAACAGGGGGAGAGATGAACTAAAACAAACCCACAAAAACAAAACCCCCTTACACCACCCTCTAGGAATTTTCCACCAAAGCTTTAATCTCTACAGTGCCCCTCACCCCCTTTTTTTTTTCTTTTCCAGCAAGTAACAACAAAAGTTTCCTGAACAGCCTGACACAAAACACAATCTGTAATGTCATGGGCCAACAGGGCCAGCAGGCAGAGACAGAGTCAAACCACCCAATTCCCCATCCCTCTCCCACCTCCAAACCTCCCTGGCAATATCTTCCAGGAGAGGAATCTCTGGTTAACCCACCAGAGCCCTGGTTTATATCACATTGTCTTCCTCCTCTAGCTATACATCAATCTTGCCACAACTTTTTTGTAATAGACTTCCCAGCCCACCAAACAAATCTCTAAAAATTCCTGGTGCTGCAATTAACATTTCTTAGGAAGTCAGGTTAAAAATCTTCGCCAGAAGTGATTTTTTTGCATCTCTCCAAACACAGCAATGCAAGGAGAATCCACTCACTTTCAGTAGCTGCTTAAATTCAGCTGGTTTCCAGAAATACCCAAACATCAACTCAATAGGCCTTAGAATAAGTGGTGTAAAACTGAGCTCCAGCTGTCCTGAATCAGGTACTGAAGGAAAAAAAAGAAAAGATAAGCTATTTCTTGTATTTGACTGTCAAATCAGCATTTTCCTTCCTTTATCTACTAAGAAATTGATGCAAAAGAACATTCTGAAAAGCATCTGACGATTTTCAATTACAAAATATGAGTGTTGATTGTCAAAAAACTAAAATCCACATCCATGACATCACTGCTGCAAAATAAGATTAGAAAACCTCTTCCTACCCAATGGAAGGTTGGATATCAAAGGAAATGTTGTTTTCTGCTGCTGGAGGGTGAAAGACAACTTCAGCACAAGCACAAATACAACATTTCTTTCAACTAATGTATTTCTACGTGCTTAAGTATTTTCCAGCTGCTTTTAACAGCGTGTTTTTACTCCAAGAGAACTGTGATTTCAGGGAGGCAATGACCAAAGCCTCAACTGTTCAAAACAAAACCCCCCACACCAGGCTGTGAAGCAACTTCTGAGCAGCAGCAGCACGATTTGCATCATTGGTTGCAAAACCAACACTTCCCAGTCCTCTCCGGGACAGCTCTGCACAGGCACTGATGCTTTCCAGACTGAACCTCTTGCCCATCCTAATTCCTGCTCTTGGGGTCTCCCAGCTGACTCCCAAGAAGGGTGGAGGACTTTGTTCCATGGAAATACGCAGCCAGCTCAGCCAGTGCAGTCAAAATTCAAACAAGCACTGGAGCTAACGGGATAATTAAATCCAAATGCCACTCCCAAGCCTTTCCAGCAAAAGGGGTGTCACAGGCTGCTCCTTCTCTGTTTGGCTGGGTTTGAGTGGGGAGAGGGTGAAGGATGGATGGCTCTCCCAGGGACAAAATGCCAATTGTCAGGAATCCCGTACCCAAGGGACAGGAAAAATCCTGTTCTCCTGATCCAGCCCTGGCAGGACCAAAATATTCTTCAGCCTTGTGAGAAGGCAGCATTGAGGCTGCACAGCAAATACCTCCCCAGGCTCTGCCATGGCTCCAGAACAAAACATCTGTGAGTTGCACAACACTGATGAAGTATCCTTGGAGCTCTATGGACTTGGGAGACTCCTGGAAATCTTTGTGAAATGTGAGCAGGTTCTTGCTCCTGAACAACCTCCTGGCCCAGCTCCACTCTCTGGCATCGTTTTGCACAAATTCACTTAAGGTACTGTGGGTTGACAGGATGAATTGTACAACAAATCCCACTTGATCTCCAACAAAACATGAAAACAGGATTATTTCTACCGTGGAAGAGCAGGACAGAGAAAAGCTGATTATGGAGACAGCAAAAATGAAACATAAAAATAAACTGTTTAGTACTGTCCCTCTGTCCCCAACGTCTCTTTTTCCATCCTCAGCTTTCAGCTGTTTCCCTTAATAGGAAACTCATTTCTTTCTTCTCTACTTTCCACCAACACACTCAATTTTGTGCTTTTTAAATCAGCTTCCTGTGACAAAGCTTGTTTGATCACACTGCCAGCCCATCCAACCAAGGATCACTTCCAACCAAAAATAATAGATGTTTCAAAAGATTAATTTCCCAGGGGTTTGGGGTTGGGGGAAATATCCATAGCCACACAGAAGAGAGGAACATACAGGAGCAGAAAGCCAAGAGCACTCCCAAGAAGCAATGACCAGTGGAGCTCCAGTAGACAGGGTTTATATTTTTATAAAAATACACTCATCCATTTTGGCAGGATCCTGTATCAAAACCAGAATGCCTCCTTCTCTCATCAGGTTTTTAGTTCTGCAAGATGTTAAGACTTGCAAGCCCCAGACACTCCCAGTGAATCTGGTACTGACAGAACCAGAGGACACAGTCTCGAGCTGCACCAAGGGAAATTTAGGTTGGGTATCAGGAAAAAGTTTTTTACAGAAAGAGTGATAAAGTTCTGGAATGGCTGCCCAGGGAGGTGGTGCAGTCCCCATCCCTGGGTGTGTTTAACAAAGCCTGGATGTGGCACTGGGTGCCAGGGTTGAGTTGAGGGGTTGGGGCTGGGTTGGACTCGATGATCTTGAAGGTCTCTTCCAACCTGATCATTCTGGGAAATCTGTGAATTCTGTGATTTCTGTGAATCTGGGGCAATTGGCTACTTGGCAAAATCAACCAGGGAGTGACACCAAAAAGCCAGCAGATGACACATCTCTCTGCCCTTCAGAGACACATTTCCAGTGCTGCTATGTGGTCTTGGTTCCAGCCTGCGTGGGGGAGAGAGGAACCTGGACTTTCAGTCTTAGTACAGCAAGTTCACTGCTCAAAGAGATGGAAAAAAAAAATTTCAAAAGGGAGAAACAGAAAGCCTGAAGGTCAACACGGACCACCCGAAACAATTCAAGAATCAGGAGAGAAAGCAAATGAAGAAGGGACAAAGGAATAATTTAGCTATGTTCAGATGGTCTAGACACTGCTGTTATTGTTGGCTTCACTAATAGGTCATTGCTAAGAGGCAGTTTATGGCAGTTCCATGAAGCTGCTTCCTTCAACACTGAAAAAAAAAATAAAAAATAATAAAAAAAAGGCAGCAGCTGGATGAAGCCCACAGGAAAGCCTGCAGAAGCAAAGCAGAGTCCTGTAAAACATGGTGAGCTCTGATTTGGGCCTCACACACACACCAGGCAGAAGCAGGGCTGGGAAAAATGGGGGAAAAGCCCTGGGTGTTGCAGGAGGGAAGAATATTGTCCCGTGAGTCATTCCTGAACAAGGCTGGAGCATGCAGCTCCAGGGCCCTGCAGGCACTTGGATCCAGAAAAAACCCACAGATGTGACCACTCGTGGTCGCTGAGGATCCCACTGTGCTTTTCACAGCCGTGGTGCTGATTTGCCTGTGTAAACTCCAGCAGCACCCTCCAGCACCAGCATCCACCTCTCCAGAAGGTGATGCAGCCACTGGGGATGTCCCCAGGCAGAGGGGAGAGCTCTGTGAAAGTTGAGAGGGGGGGTGAAGAGAGGATGGGGAGCCACAAATAATCACTGTCACCTTCAGTAAAAGCTTGTTCATGGGCTAGACTTTGAATATATAGTGACAAAAACACTGAAATGTAATAAAACAGTGAAAATAAATATGGAGCCACATGATGATGTCTCTGACAATGCTGAAGAAGAGACATAAGCCTTTCATTTTTGCTGTTTTTTTTTTTTAATACACAATTTTGGATCAACTGGTATACAACATTTATCACTTACCAAAAGGAACCTGAACTGAAAAACAAGACTCACTCCCCTGGCATCACTCAGCTCCTGCAAAGAGTACCCCCTGTCCTGATGGAATTCCAGCTACACTGCCAGAAAGGGAGATGGGCTGGATTTTATGTCTCATTTGATGGACAGAAATCAGAGACAGACAAAAGCCTTGCTCAAGACCACACAAGTCTGCAGCCAGAGCTAAACACATTAAAGAAGCTTAAATTCAGAGAGGACTTAACGTGATCTGGCCTTTCTGGCTGTATACAAAGGGCACAGCAACTCATTTAGCAGCCTCCACATCCCAACCTTGACCTGGAATCACACAGAACAGCCTCTTCAGAAAGCCTCAGCTGGAAGAGCTCATGCACTTACTCCAGTAACCCCTCTCTGCAACAAACATCTCAATTTCCACTCTGAGAATACAGCTCGATTTGTATTCTGTTCATTAGATCTTGATACCCCTGTATCTTAGACACCTCTCTATTTACAGACACTCCCTATCTTCTCCAGGTACTCACAGACTGTGATTTCATCTCCTTTTAACCCTTCTTCATATAAGTAAATGGAAATACTTAATTAATACTTAATACAGAATACTTAACACAGAATACAGCTTCTGCCACTAGAGCGACACTTCATTAATTTCTTCATCTCTTTCCAGAGTGGTTTGTTTTTGTTTTTTTTGGGGGGGGGTTGTTTTGTTTTGGTCTTTTTTTTTTTTGTTTGTTTGCTTTGTTTTTTTGTTTTTTTATCAAGAGGAAATAGCAAAGAAGCACATAATGTTCAGTGGCCAAAGCACCTTTTCATGCCTGTTTGCTGTGTGAGCAGGGGCTAACAGCAAACTTGGCCCACATTTTCCAGTGGAAGTCCTCATCTATCAGAGCAGCAGCCAGCTGGGCTGCCCACTGCCTTCCCAGAAGGTCAGAGCCAGACCAGCCCAGGCCTTTCCTGGCCCAGGGAGCAGGACAACACTCACCCATGGGAGAGCACGTGTCCAAGAACTTGCTTGTGAAGCTAGATGCTGCCTTTTCTCCAAAAGCCAGAGGGGGAAAAAGCTTGGAGACAAAGAAAAACCCAGACTTGGGTTTTTTTCAGTACCTGCAAACACCATGAACAGGCAGGTACAGCCACCAGCATCCAGGCCATGCACAAGACACCAGGGGCCAAGGTACCAAGCCAGCACACACTTGATGATCTTAGGGGTCTTTTCTAGATGAAATTATTCTGATTCTTAACAGAAGGGATCAATTAGTAAGCAAATACCATCACTGACTGTCCCAGTCAATACTAGGAAGGAGCCTGGTGAGCCAGAGGCTCAGGGGCCTGACTGGGACAGTGACAAAAGCCCCCAAGCAAGCAAAGAAGGGATCCAGACACTCTCAGGCAGCTGCAAGTACTGCTGTGCAATCCCCCCCCTTGGAAGGGCTGTCTGTGAATGACCTGAGGCAAGCAGAGCACTGCCTGCACCCACATAGTGAGATCCAGACAAACCTCCCCATAAGTTCAACCCACGTGCACAGAGCATTTTGCCACTGTCTGGAGCTGTGTCCAGAGCCTGATAAAGAGAAAAATGATCCAATTACCCTCCTCCAGAGCAGACTGCAGTGCAGCAGACACACCAGTGGAGCATGTTCCCTTTGGTTCACCAGCAGCTGGATCCTGCTGCTGCTCTCCCTCCTGCAACCCCACCCAAGGGATGCCAAGGTCACCCCTGGGCAGGACTCAAGGGCAGGGCACAGCCCAGCAGGTCAAGCAGAGCAATTATACAGGAGGAAGTGAGGAAAGACCCTCCTAATTTGCTGGACTTCTTGGCAGGAGTTTGCTCACTGTTGCCTTGAGC